AAGTCGGAGCTTACAAAGTGTATTGACCTTTTTTGATTTTTTTTTTACAAGGAATCGAATGGTATATCCGGAAGTTAGTTAACAGCAACGGAAAAAAAGTTATATGACATTTTCGGGACTTTTGAACATTTTTGGGCAGATAAATCGCAATGTTGCTCCATCAAAGAGTTGTCCTACGAAGCTATCAGTAGTGTCAATCGAAAGATAATAAAATTCCGCAACTTTTGAGACCCCAGCCGTTTTGATATCTCATTTAGTTCCCGAGAAATCACCCAAAAACCTCAATTTTTGAGCTTTAGACCCAACTTTGGCCGCCCCCCCACTAATATGTTCAAATTTTTTCCCGACCAAAACCAACTCGTTAACGGTCTTCTACTATCCCCAAGACTCCATTTCGCCAATAAAATTGGGGGGTCAGAATTTATGATCCACCACTGAAAATCTATCGGCGTGACCTAGTGCCGCTGCAGGGGCGTGAATTAAGTGTCACGCCAATAAACGGCATGACAGAAAAGTCTCGCCAAAAATCGGCGTGACTCAAAAATTCACGCCAATTTTTGGTGTGAATTTCTTCTCATGCCGCTTTTTTGGCATGACTTTTCTTATAAAACGCGTTGTCATTCACGCCAAATGAGGGCGTGACTCACACGTCACGCCGTTTTTCGGCATGAATTTCGTGTCATGCCAATTTTTGGCGTGACTTTTTGTCACGCCATAATTTGGCCCTGTGTCCGACCAATATGTTTTCAGTGACCCTAGTAGTGGCGTCCCCTAGATCAGTTCTAAGGTGTCTTGTTTCTATTGTGGAAGAGGCGAGCGAGCCAAGGGGGCGTTGGAGGCGTTTCAAACATTGACTACCGTGCCGTGCGGCAAACGAAGAATTAAGACCGCAGGTGGGAGATACCTAACGAAGGGGAAGGGCTGCTGTCCGATTCAGTCTGCTGTAGAAAATCCGGTATTAGCGTGTAATATACGTATGCTCAAAATACTTCGTAAGAATTTAAGAGTGTAAATCTCCATAACTCAACAAGTACACTCTCATTTCTCTCGTTTCAACGTGATGTCACGTTCCTGGAATGAGAGATGGTCATGGACATGCTACTTTCACTCGTCAGTATCCTTGATTATGTTACGCACTTATTGCCCACCTGTTGAACGGGGCGTTACGCTGGACCAGAGCCCACCGCCCTCTCCAGCAGCGTAACGTTACTCAGGTTAACGCTTTCTTTGACCCTATGTGCTGTTTGTACTTCTGATTTAGGATGCTTGTATTTAATTATGTTTAACGTTACGCTACGCTGGCTGAGGACAGAGTGGGGGGAACCTGGGCTTGTAAATTAAGGAAACCTGGACCGGGAACGAGAAGAATACTGACGTTAGGCAGAAGTGAGACCTGGGTTGAGCCCGGGCGCTGTTACGGAGAACTACATAAAACGAGCGAGGTTAAGATGGTTAAATTCACCGGGAGATTTGGGGAAGCGCTTTTCATAAGATTCTCTCATTTATATCCAGACCCGCTCGGCCAGTAGGTGCCTTAAATAGGGCAAGGGTAATGGTCAAGTGTGGGAGAGAAGCTGGAACGGTAGCTATTAGGAATTACTTCCACCTAAGCAACGAGTGAAGAAGAAGAGGAATAACAAACCCCGGAAACAGTTCTTACAATTTGCTAATAGGGTACTTGGGAGGAAACCTAGACCGGAAGTCAGCGACAGAACGGGAGAAACAAAAGAGCGTCGCGCGGCCGTGCTGAGCGGTGGTGGGGGCCGGAATCGGCAGAGTGGGGGTAGTATGCGCGCGCCGCCTTCACCCCCACTCCGCCGATTTCGACCCCCACCACCGCTCAGCACGGCCGCGCGATGCTCTTTTGTTTCTCCCGTTATGTCGCTGACTTCCGGTCTAGGCTTTCTCCGAAGTACCCTATTCGTCAGATTTTGGGCTCATTTGGGTTCTAAAAGTTGTCAAAAATTGAATCAATGTGAGTATTTTAAACCGTCGAAATCTCAAAATTATACGGTTTTGGGAACTGGGTCCGGTGCTATTTCTTCTTCCTGTTCTTCGCTAGGCGTACTAGTGTAAAGAAGAAAGTATGCGAAACTTGTAGAAATGAGCGTCTGCGTTGCCGTTTTGCCGCTTTCACGGAGCTATCTTCTCACACTAGTTCAACTATAGATCTTCTTCGTTTCTTGATCTATAACTTTTGATGTTTATTTTGAGACTGGAATTCGTGTGCGTTTTCGGACCGAGCAGTTACACAAACATACCTGTTGTCCTATTTTTGCACTTATACGCCAAATGGTATGAACAGCGCACGTATGGTGCAATGTAGAGGCATCGCACTTTACGTGCAGTGCGATGGCCCTATTGCACCTTCGTGCAATGCGTCCCAAAAATGCCCTATGCTTAACATGGGAAGGCATTGCTGTGAGTGCAATGAAACCGTCTTTAACCGCATTGCACCAACAGACCCTTTCGCTCGTCGCCGAGTGAAGAACTTTAGAAATCAACTAGCCCGGAACCAGTAGCGCACCTACTAGCGGACGTTATAATGAACTGCGGGAAGCTGAACCCTGATTGGTCTCAACACTGCTAATTGGATGGAAAGACTTCGCTCTAAAATATGGCGAGACATTTAAGTCTCGCAAAGTTTTGGCCAGACCTGAAAGTCTCGCCAAAATTTGGTCACACACAAAAGTCTCGCCACTAAACGGTCAGACTCAAAAGTCTCGCCACAAAACGGTCAGACACGAAAGTCTCACCGCAAAATGGCGAGACTTGTGTCTGGGCGCCAGAAGGCCCTAATCGCCCTAATGCGCCAGGCGGTTACGGCCTCAAGGCCTTGGTCAGACACAAAAGTCTCGCCATTTTGTGGTGAGACCTTTGTGTCTGACCGTTTTGTGGCAAGACTTTTTTGTCTGACCAAATTTTGGCGAGACTTTCGGCGAGACTTTTATGTCTCGCCTGACCTTTGGATTTGTAGTGAAGCGTAGGTCTGGACGAAATTTACAGCATCGGCCGCTAGATGGCGCGCTACTGGTTCCTGCATTTTGATTTCTTGTTTTCGAAAGGGTCTATTGACGCTCGGATTTTGAGTGTCGAAGTACATGGTCTAGCTTGTAGTTCAGACTTGGGTCCAAACTTTTTGTCCCGTGGTCTGACTTTAAAGTGATTCCTTAATTGGCTGAGCGATAGCGAAGCCTGTTACTCCAGTGGGGTTGAAAAGTTTTTCCTGTCTGTCTGTCTGTCCGTCTGTGTGTGTGTCCGCACTACTCCTCCTGAACGGCTCGGCCGATCTCGGTGAGATTTTGCACACTCTTTGGGTATGTCCTTGGCTCGGCACACGCGAAATTTCACCATCCTAGCTCAACTGGTTCAGTTTTTATAGCCGAAAAACACCTAAAAAACGGCGAAAAATCGAGTTTTCGGCAGGTAGATCACCACTGTCTTGAAGAAAGGGGGGTCTGGGGGGCGTAGCCCCCCAGCCTCGACAAGTTAAAAAGTGACAAGGGTCAAGATCGTGTTATCTGTAGATGAAGCAACTCTATCTAGAATTGAGGGGGGTCTGGGGGGCGGAGCCCCCCAGCATGCAACACGTAAGAAGTAACCGACGATGGACAAGCCAATGCCTGCCGAAGGCAGGCTAGCGCCGCAGGCCAAGGTAGGTACGCCAGGCGCGGATTGGAGGAACAGGCCGCGAGACATCGCGAAGCCTGTTACGACAAGACGCGGTCTGGCGTAAACCTACCTTGTAATTTTGCAGTCTGAATCAGACTCTTCTCTTGCCCAAAATTTAAGCCTCTTAGAAGCCAAAATTTCAGGTGTCTAAAGTCTGAATTCACTGCAAATTTAAGGGCGAGTCTCACATTCTTGTGGGCGTGGTACATATTGTCTCACACTTACAAGTGTGAGCATGGTGTGAACCACGTTTGTCCCACACTTGCTCCCATGTGTTCGCTGTGGCTCAATGTCGCGGTTCCCACGCTTGCAAGTGAGAGACAACCCCTGTTCCACGTTTGTAAGTGTGAGACATGCGTGATACTGTCACTCACTTGGATAGGCATTGAAATTCCAGAGGCTCCACTGTGGCAAAAAGGAACGGAAAATTCTGTTAATTTTTTTGCCAGGATTCTCCGTAGCCCTCTTGTCGCTATTCTCCGTAGGCTCTTACAGTATTCTCCGTAGGGCCGTACTGTTGCGGTTGTGTATTTTCCGGGATTCGATAAATCGAGTGAGATTGTGGTTCAAGACGTAAGACTATATTCCAAAACACTGTTCCTGCTGGCTCCACACACACCCTTACTCTAAGCGTTCCTCCAGGCGACTGCCCGGCCGCCCGTCACTCGGCTCGGCTGTCGCCCTGTTCGGCTTCCGCGGTCCGCGGCTGATCAGTAGCGGTAGGGTTTTCTATTAGGGTCAGCAGTTATGCCGCGCGCCGCGCGACGCCGCTTCCCCCAAATCGTCTTGTCTCCCGCAACACACTCCCAATTTCCTACTGAGCTTTTTCTTCGTATTACGAACAAAAAGCTTAGTATTATGACAGCACAGCGAAGGTAGTAACCTATGGTGAAGCGTTCTCAGTAACTTATGACCACTTTGTTCATATTACGAACAAATTTCTCTGTATTATGACAGATTTGTGTCGTAAAGTACTAAGAATTCGCTTAGTATTATGACAGCACGGCATTTCTCAGTAGGAAATTGGGAGTGCAGTACAGTATTCTCCGTACGACCGCACAGTCTTCTCCGTAGGACCTGAAAGACTGAATAGTCCTACGCGGAGAACACTGTGAGGTCCTACAGAGAAAACTGCGCGGTCCTACGGAAAATACTGTAAGAGCCTACGGAGAATACTGAAAATGGGGCTACGGAGGATTACCACCAGCTGTTCACAGAATTTTCCGTAGTTTTTTGCCACAGTGTCTCTTGGAATATTTAAACCACTATAATAAATGTCTTCTTTCCACTATTAAGTCTAAATTTTCCGTGCACCGTGTTCTCGTGTTTTTCGCAGTCATGGAGTGCCTTCTCTGCTCGAAGCCTTACGATTTGGCCGAGCGTCGCCCGAAGACGCTGCCTTGCGGTCACTGCTTTTGCTTGGAGTGCCTTCAGCAGCCCGATGTCAGGAGCTCCTGTCCCCGGGATAAAAAGGTACGTATTTGCAGGTCTAAATGATCCATGAAGCGGAAGAAGGGGACAACTCAATTTTCATCAATTTTCAGGAGAAACAAAAACCTGTTTGTAGGGAAAATCAAATCCTTTCAGATGTATGATGTTATTGTTTTTTTTTTGTACCAAAAATGAAGCATCAGTTATAACTAAAAACATTTTCAAAAGTGTAGCATCACTCTGTAGACGGTATCTGTCATTTAAATCGTTACGTTAGAATATACTAAAGAACCATGTTTACTTAGTTCTAACAAACGAGATTGAATGTGGAGACAACTAAAGTGGAGCTAAGATCTGCGTAGACTCTACTTTGCTGTGGAACATTTATTGAGTTACCTCCTTTTTCCATTAGTTTTTGAAAATGACTTCGGAGTTGAGTTGACTCTTTTCACATTAGATTCATGAAGTCCTAAGTTGAGTTGATTCCTTTTACATTGGATTTTTAAAGACACACCATTGCCATTTTGTGAAATGGAGTCATGTGGATTTCGGTTGAGTTAAATCCATTTTCCGATAAAATTTAGACCATGAAAGGAGGCAAGTTAAGGTTAATCCATTTTCCATGTGGATTTTGTCCCAAACTGCTGGGTATTGAGTAAAATATGTGGCGTAGGGGTAGGTTGGGGAAGAAAAGTACAAAACGCGTACTTTGCACTGTACAGAAGTTCCAAATGAGGATTCAACTATTCTGCTCTCGTGAACTTGTAATCCAATGCCTTCCTAATGAAATGGATCACTGTTCATTGATTATAGTTCACCACATTACGTACAACATGCCAAAATGTATGTGATTTCGGAACTCCTCGAAAAGGGTAAGAAAAGTACACCACAGGGAAAGAAAAGTACAACGAAAAGGATTGCGATTTCGAACCAGGAGACCACTAATCTTGGCTCAATACAGGTTTAACCCTAAAGTGGAGAGTTTTCACTTGCCATTAGTTCAAGTTTCGTCAAAATCGGTCAATTGGTTCTGAGCGATTCTCACGTTTCGGGGTAGTTTCGTTTCTTCTGACTCCTGTGCCCAAACGAGCGCAGATATCGACATGGGGTTTGTTTCTGATGTTAGGGAGGGCCATTGCCCACTAAACGCACACATTTCGAAAAGTTCACGTTCGTTGGTTTGGTCTACGTAGCGTTTTGAATACCCTAAATGTAACTTCCGTGATTGTCCAAAGAGAACATACTCGAACTTTCCGCCCCCAGTGTGGCGGTGTGGTTCGAAAATGCTGCCAACTGTCGATGGGGATTCGAAGCTTGGCATATCTCGAGCTAATTTCGACCGAAGACCAATACGCCAGACTTCTTTCAAAGGTACTTATGCTGCAACGAAAAATGTCCTCCGTATATTCAATTTCACTACACAAATTTCGAAAAGGCAGCTCTGGACTTCTCCCCAAGCCAAACTTTAAACTTTCCATGACACAAGCCATCAAAGTGGAGTCCCTGGGATATAATTGCACTGGTCGCGGAAATCTAAGATGCTGTACACGGTCTCAAAGCGGGCTAGAGCATTATAAAATGGCGTGTATCAACAATTACCTGTAACTTCCGTGGCACCCTTTACCCAATGTTGCAGCAGCACTAGGTGAAAAAATTTTCCGCTTAAATGTCGGGCTTAGAGTATCATTTGACCTTGGAACGACTTTTAAGCCACAGCAAGCCCGAGTCAGCCGTTAAAGCCGATTTTCACACTTTGTAACTTCCGTGATAACGTAATTTCCGTGATCAAAACACCCACTAAAACGTATGGGAATACCTTATGGCTCATGTTTTTAGGAAGGTAGTACAAGGTCTTTACTATAAATACCATTGCCATAACTCCAGTATCATCCAGGACCCCAATAATCAGAAAAACTTAATTGGATATTTCTCACTTTCGGCAAATCAGAGACGCCAAAACTACCCCGAAACGTGAGAATCGCTCAACTATGAAAATCTTTTTTTTTAATGTTTGTACTTTGAAGTACAGCTTCCTGCATAATCAGCCGACAGTCCAATGTAAGGTACCGCCTTATGACCATCATCTTTGAAAAACATTGCCGTTCGATGCTCTAAGGCTTCAACACAATTTTTTATAAGTGTAAAATTGAAATGGGGAAGAAAAGTACAGACGGCTGGGGAAGAAAAGTACAGGCATTGGGGAAGAAAAAAACACCCTCGAAGAAACTAAAAGCGGAATGAAAATTGAATTGATCACGGAAATAGATTTGATTAGGCGAGACAAGCAAAAAATGTCAACACAAGTTATAGAATTAGACTAGAAATAAACAAGTTATTGCGCATTTACGTGAAAAGGGGAAGAAAAGTACAAAAATGCTGTACTCACTTATCTCTGGAAAAAGGCTTTTGGCACCTTCTGTGATGAGTCCATGTAGAATCAGAAGAGCGATTCTCACGTTTCGGGGTAGTTTTGGCGTCTCTGATTTGCCGAAAGTGAGAAATATCCAATTAAGTTTTTCTGATTATTGGGGTCCTGGATGATACTGGAGTTATGGCAATGGTATTTATAGTAAAGACCTTGTACTACCTTCCTAAAAACATGAGCCATAAGGTATTCCCATACGTTTTAGTGGGTGTTTTGATCACGGAAATTACGTTATCACGGAAGTTACAAAGTGTGAAAATCGGCTTTAACGGCTGACTCGGGCTTGCTGTGGCTTAAAAGTCGTTCCAAGGTCAAATGATACTCTAAGCCCGACATTTAAGCGGAAAATTTTTTCACCTAGTGCTGCTGCAACATTGGGTAAAGGGTGCCACGGAAGTTACAGGTAATTGTTGATACACGCCATTTTATAATGCTCTAGCCCGCTTTGAGACCGTGTACAGCATCTTAGATTTCCGCGACCAGTGCAATTATATCCCAGGGACTCCACTTTGATGGCTTGTGTCATGGAAAGTTTAAAGTTTGGCTTGGGGAGAAGTCCAGAGCTGCCTTTTCGAAATTTGTGTAGTGAAATTGAATATACGGAGGACATTTTTCGTTGCAGCATAAGTACCTTTGAAAGAAGTCTGGCGTATTGGTCTTCGGTCGAAATTAGCTCGAGATATGCCAAGCTTCGAATCCCCATCGACAGTTGGCAGCATTTTCGAACCACACCGCCACACTGGGGGCGGAAAGTTCGAGTATGTTCTCTTTGGACAATCACGGAAGTTACATTTAGGGTATTCAAAACGCTACGTAGACCAAACCAACGAACGTGAACTTTTCGAAATGTGTGCGTTTAGTGGGCAATGGCCCTCCCTAACATCAGAAACAAACCCCATGTCGATATCTGCGCTCGTTTGGGCACAGGAGTCAGAAGAAACGAAACTACCCCGAAACGTGAGAATCGCTCAGTTATTTTTCATGTTTTTTTCAAACATGCAGTTTGATTCAAAATATTAATTAAAGAACTGGGCTAAATTTATTTTTTGTCAGCGGGATGACCAATCTTTCGGAAACCACTAACGTGATGGTTCAGTGCAGTTTCAGTTCAGAGATATAACGGGTTTTTTTTTCTTACCCGAGCCTCGAGTGTACTTTTCTTACCCAACCTACCCCTAAAGATGGTAACTATCCTGAGGCACAACAATAAGGGGGCATTCCAGACCCAATTAGCAGGCCGCGTAGGTGACCACTGCCGATTTCGTTCCTTTTGTGGTCAAATGTTACCTACCACTAGAGTAAGATGACCCTAAATTTTTTAAGGTCGAAATATGAATACTCCAGGAAATATCGCAATTTGAAATTTTCTCTGAAATTTCTTTTAGTGGTTTTGAACAAAGTGTCAACTTTTGCGCGAATCCCTCCTGCTTCTTAAATTTTCGACTCAGAAGGTCGAGATCACTGCTCCTTACGTAAAATTCATCAAGGAATCAGAATCCGTCGCCAAAAGCACCTACGATCGAGTTTAGAGGTCAAAAAGTGGCCTCAAACACAAAATTTTGTTATTTTTGTGCCTAATTTCAAGGCAAAAATGTAAAGGGAAGCGGGTCTAAACATAAACTTCCCAATAGTGGAAAATGTTCCTTTAGACTCCCTCTAAACAGCTGCGGCTCGAAAAAGATGGTTATAGGTCAGGATCAGGCAACACAGCCTAAAAATTAGAGACCGAATTTCAATGAATTTAATAAATTAGCAGTAGGGTGCGTCGATACAGACGACTTTTTGACTACGACTCTTGGTAAGCGCTCTATGTTGATGATTTTTTGGTGCTGATTCCAAAACTGACCTCGGTACTACGATAGGACAACTTCTTCATGTCCCTATTGGGTGTTAAGTGCCAAAAAACGCGTAGTTTCAAGAGTTTTTCTTGGTTTTTGGTCCCGCACACCATCCCAAACTGTCGGGGCGACTGTTGCATGGTCTGTTGGACATCACGTTCACAAAAGACAACTCTTGCAGTGTGGCTGGGCTATCGGACACCTTCTATGTAAGTTCCAGACGTCAATTTTTATGCTATTCTTACTAATTTCTTCGTTATTCTGCCGTAGCTTCACTGTGTTTTGACAGAGGTGTTATGTAACCAAATAAAGCGATTTGGCACTGCGACCTTGAGACTCGTGTCAATAGAGCATTCTAGTCGTCCAAGATCGAAGAAGTAGAAGAAGAAAAAATCTGGAACTCGCGTCGGCAACAAACTTTGCAGACTCCTGCTATTGGACTGGATTTAGAGATGTCCGAGGCGTATATTCTCCAATGCACTTTCGTCTGTTTCAAATACTTTTTAACCCAGGAATTGAGGATATTTGTGGATATTTCTCCTTGAAACCGGGCTCGCCTTGTACTTTCTTCCTTTCCGCCTTCCGGTTTTGTTCTTCTTTTCGTTTTTCAATCGCCAACGACTAGAATGCTGTATTTAAAAGTAAAAGGGAGTTTCTTAAAGGAGTAGAAACACCTTTCCAAGCTAACGTAAGACCTGCAGGCCCATATAGTTATCACCTGGCGCGCAGCAAGAGCGGCTGGGGCCTTTCGGGGAATTTCTGCCACTGTAATTCAAAGGGTGAGACATCGCACCAATTTTTGGCGGAACAAAATGTATCACCGAAAAAGGGTGATACTAAAATGTATCACCGAAAAAATGGTCGTACACGCATGTATCACCGAAAAAAAGGTCGTACACAAATTTATCACGGAAAAAAAGGTGAGAAAAGGCGAGTTGGCCCTTGTTTTCCTGGGGAAGTAAGGGAGTATGGGGCGATTTGTAACAGGGGCGATTCGTAACACATGCGTTTATTAATTTAAGTGGAGGGAGCAGAGGAAAATCTGGGTATGGCCCCTCTTTCGCTTCAAGTACAGGGTCCTTCTACAATCAAAGCGGATGTGATCGGTGCTCAGGTATAGTTTTGGGGGGCGTCTGCAATTTAGGGTACACCGAAAACAGGTAAATCTTTTATTTTGAGTTCTAGGAAGTTTCTGTCTGAGGCTCCCCAGGTATGAATCACCATCGAAGTACTGTTGGGGCCTTGAAGCGTGACCCCTTTACAATGTAACCACGTGGCATAAGGTGCTTTCACTTTGTCCAGTGATAGTTAGGGACGTATTTCTTGCGTAGCCGGCAATTGGGGTGATTCGTAACAGACCCGTATAAAAACAAGAATTTAAGTAATTTTTGCAATTAAATGCTTGAATTATTTCTCGAATCATCTGCTGCCTAATTCCAATACATTTACACAGTTCAAAATGCATTTTAAAGCGAGTTATTCTATTATTTCCTCCAAAATTGATAAAAGTGAGGTTAGGGTTGACATAGCCGGTCAGTTTATGCTGAGGCGGTCAAGGGCAGCTTGTAATGTAGATTTTAAGGCGTCTGTAGGACATCCGAAGAACAACTGCTGGAGGAGATAACATTCCCGACGATGTTTCATTTAATGTGTAGGCTGTTATGAAAAGCCCCATGGCTGTTAGAAATCACCCCATGCTGGGGCGATTCGTAACAGCATGCAAGGGTTTGGAAAGCGTCTTAGATTTCAAAGATTACGGACTCCAGATTGATCCAACGGAGCTGCACAGTCTAGATGAAGGGCCAGACTGCTCAACTGGCACAAGTTTGACACCGATATGCAGAATGTTCTTAATTTTGTATAGAGAATTCCAAAATCTGTTACAAATCGCCCCATACTCCCTTATCAACCTTTTTTCGGTGATAGATTTGTGTACGACCTTATTTCCGGTGATACATTTGTGTACGACCTTTTTTTTCGGTAATACATGCGTGTACGCGATCATTACTTCGTTGATACATTTGAGTATCACCCTTTTCCGGGCCGAGACAGTTATGTCTCACCCCTCAGAGAGTGAGATGCATCACTATTTGATTTTCAGTGTGCTGACCCCCCCCCCCCGCTAAAATACTTTGTCATTTAAAAACAGGCAAATTAACGAAGACATTAGTAAGAATAGCATAAAAATTGACGTCTGGAACTCACATGGAAGGTGTCCGACAGTCCGGCCACACTGCAAGAGTTGTCTTTTGAGGACGTGATGTCCAACAAACCATGCAACAGTCGCCCCGACAGTTTGGGATGGTGTGCGGGACCAAAAACCAAGCAAAACTCTTGAAACTACGCGTTTTTTGGCACTTAACACCCTATAGGGACATGAAGAAGTTGTCCTATCGTAGTACCGAGGTCAGTTTTGGAATCAGCACCAAAAAATCATCAACATAGAGCGCTTACCAAGAGTCGTAGTCAAAAAGTCGTCTATATCGACGCACCCTACTGCTAACATAATTTATTAAATTCACTGAAATTCGCTCTCTAATTTTCAGGCTGTGTTGCCTGATCCTGACCTATAACCATCTTTTTCGAGCCGCAGCTGTTTAGAGGGAGTCTAAAGGAACATTTTCCACTATTGGGAAGTTTATGTTTAGACCCGCTTCCCTTTACATTTTTGCCTTGAAATTAGGCACAAAAATAACGAAATTTTGTGTTTGAGGCCACTTTTTGACCCCTAAACTCGATCGTAGGTGCTTTTTGGCGACGGATTCTGATTCCTTGATGAATTTTACGTAAGGAGCAGTGATCTCGACCTTCTGAGTCAAAAATTTAAGAAGCAGGAGGGATTCGCGCAAAAGTTGACACTTTGTTCAGAACCACTAAAAGAAATTTCAGAGAAAATTTCTAATTGCGATATCTCCTGAAGTATTCATATTTCGACCTTAAAAATTTAGGGTCATCTTACTCTAGTGGTAGGTAACATTTGACCACAAAAGGAACGAAATCGGCAGTGGTCACCTACGCAGCCTGCTAATTGGGTCTGGAATGCCCCTAAGATAAAAAGTCACTTTGAATAAAAGCTTTTACTGTGTTATCTTCTAATGGATAAATGCCTCGGCCCCTATTTCTTGATTCTAGATATTTCTGGCAGTCCCTGCGCAGCTTCCAGACTGCTATCCGGTGGTTCAGCTGATTATCAAGTAAGTGGCATTTGCGCTGTCGGCGAACAATTCCACGCAATTTTACGCTACGTGAATCACTGCACCCTCAGCACGTTACCGTCCTTTTCCTCCTTAATGATGTATTCGTATAAACAGCAATAATAAGTACTTAGTATTTTCTAAGCAAGTAATGACTAATTTCCTTTGTAAAATTATGTACCAAACAAAATTCTCAGTACATTGTTTAGTCTTTTCTCAGTAGTTCTTTAAAAAATGAAAAGTATGGTTGCACGAATCACTAACATAAGTACTGACAAAGTGAGCAAAAAGTCAATACTGTGCTGAGAATGTGGTGATTTACGCTACCTTTCCGTTTACATGACAATACCACTTCCCAGGAATATCTTTCGAATCCCAGGTTTTAGCGTGTAGTTTGTAACATATATCGTTTCAACTTCTTGAATGTACCCCAAATTTGGTGGGCCCGTACCGTACACACAATGAGTTTGAATACTGTGAACCAAGCACGTGGCGTATGCTGCACTGCCTTGCGTGCAATATGTCCTATTCTGATGCACAGGAATTCCGAGGGTAGCCATTGCACTTCACGCACTGAGAATCCAAACGCTATGAGTATAGCGTCAATTGGTGCAATGCAAAAGCATTGCACATGAAGTGCAATGCCTCCCATGCATTAGCATAGGGCCTTTCCGGGAAGCATTGCACCAAAGGTGCAATATACAGGGTGAGTTTTTTCGATGAGTCTATAATTTGTAGGAAGCTTAGGCACCCCTAGCGGATCATCTTTCGCCAATGAACTAGTGGGCGCGAACTTCTAGTTACTGAGATAATGAGTGTTTTGTAATTTACCTTCGCGCCCTTGAGGTTAGGCTCCTGCCGCCAGTGAGGGTAGCGGGACCTCACGAGTGGGTGTCATGGGACTCGCAGTACTCGAGGGAGTGCCACTGACTTGACGGAGAAACCGTGGAGTCTTTCCACCCCCGCGAAGACAGCCGCGAGATCCACTGTTACGCAGGCCCTTGAGACCCTCGGCAACCCGTCTGCAAAGACAATTGAAAGGTCCACCGCACCCCTGCGACCTTCGTTGCATCCCCGCTAGACCCACGACATCCTCTCGTAAGGTATTGTGACCCTCAGTGACAGCAGGTGCGTATCTGGCAGGTGCAAATGCCCATTTCTTAATATCAATTATCTCCGTTCCTAGACGTTTGCGCCCACTAGTTCAATGGTGAAAAAAGATCCTCTCGGTGTGCCCAAGCTACCTACAAATTATTGACACATTGAAAAAACTCACCCTGTAGCTGTGGCATTGCACGTATGGTGCGATATCACAGCGCATTGCACCATACGTGCTATACTCATAGCGTTTGGAATCTCAGTGCGTGCGATTGGAAAGTATTCGTTTGATGAAACCGGGTTGAAACGCATTCCACCAATTAACGCCACATGTATCGCCTTAGTGTGTGAATGCTCACCCTCAAGACATTTGTTACTACACTTTACAAACAAAAAGAGGTTTTCAGAACAAAATATTTTGAGCATACGGAAGCGTAACAAGAAATGACTTGCTAAGTTTTCTTCGTATAGTTTGTACCTTCACATGCTTTCAATTACTTCGTGAGGTCTTAAGCGCGTTTCAGGATGATCAGTCAACGCGTCCGAATAGAATAATCCTAACTGCCAGGGCAGCAGATCCAAGACAATCCACAATTTTTGTGTCAATTCAGAACTATTCCAATTGCACATCACGTTAAAAGCGGCGTTTTATCCAAGTCCGTGACGGCAACATACTTCATAAAATTACTCGCTGAAGGGCTTGTTGCAATGTTTCATCCTTATAAAAGTACGTGCACTCTCATTCCAGGAACGTGACATCACGTTGAAACGAACGTGACAGACTGTCGCGTTCGTTTGAGCATTGTGTCACATTCGTTTGGGTGTGAATTGGCCGAAAATCAGCTCGTTCACATTCGAACGAACGTGACACAATGCTCAAACGAACGTGACACTTTGTCACGTTCGTTTCAACGTGATGTCACGTTCCTGGAATGAGAGTGTGGACATTGTATTTCAGAAATATTGACATTCTTTGATTTGCAGTGAAGATACTTCTTGTACACTTTTAGGTACCTCTGCATCAAAGATAGTGCCAAATCTGCACTGACAGGATTGTCTTGGATCAGCTCTGGCGGTTAGGGTTGTCTTGGCTCTGCTCTGACAGTTATAATTATTCTATTCGGACGCGTTCAAAGTGTGTGCCTGGTGAAAGCCTTCATCGTTCATCACCTTCCAGGTGGGGTCGGTTTAGGTGCCGGCAGTGCGACCTGAAGCCCTCAGATGCCTGCCCGTCCGCCGCGCACAAGATCTGCGCGCGTTGCGGCGAGGCTCTGGAGGCCCAGGTTGCACCCTGGCGGAGCGAGGACTGGGCCCAGCTGCAGGCCGCCACGGGCACTTTGGAGATGACTCTGCGCGCCAAGGAGTCCGAGTGGAGGGCCAAAGTGCCGCTGGGCGAGAGCCGGCCGGACCTGGAGCCGCTGCTGCGGGAGATGCTCTTCCAGTTGCACGGCGACGGAAGACACGTTGAAACGAGCTTGCAAAAATGTCACGCTATAGTATACTTTTGAGCTTTGTGTCGTTTGGATGCGCTTAATCTACACACTAAATTCTTATGGACTTTTTAAATGCATAATGACGCATAATTTATGCATAGTTATGCATGCGCAGAAACGTCCATAAGGTATGAATAAAATTATTCATCATTGTGTACATTTTATGCACCTTCCTGCATAAAATGTACACAGTGATGCATAATTTTATACATAACATATGGACGTATCTGTGCGTGCATAACTATGCATGAATAACAGGAAAAGTAGCGATATACATCGGCAACTTTGGCCCGTCCCGTACATTTAGTATGTGTGAATTTCGCTATTGTTTAACCCTAACGGGATTTGAACCTCAGTGTGGGGTCCAAATTTATGTTATTTTCGTCATCAGCACCTTCAAAAACATCAGAAACAATGCAAAAACTCGAGTAAAAAGAATGTTGAAAATATACCCCACTGGGATTTGAACCCGGGTCCAAACTTCTCCAATTCACTTGAAACTGGCACCGTTGGTTTTTTCTCGTCGCCCTGATTCCAAAAATACCCCTACATGCCCTGCTAGCTGTATCTGTTGCCGAAATCCTCCTCGACCCCATGTAGACCATGATGCACCTGCAGCAGCGCCCCCGGGGCTCGGATCGGATTTGCTGCCACCGGGCGGTTCTTAGGGTCACCCAAGGAGGCTGCATACCAAATTTGGTCAAGATCGGACCACGGGAAGTCCTCGGACGAACGGACGGACGGACGGACGCACAGCAGGGATCATACTATATGCCCGTCCCTCCGTCATTTTTTTACAAAAAATAAACGGGACGGGCCAAAAAGTCCATAAGAATTTAATGTGTATATTCGGCTGATTCACATCCGAATGATCGCGATTCAGCTCAAAGAAGCGTGACATTTTGTTGTCACGTTCGCCTCAGCGTGTCATGTTGTGTAAGACCATGTGCTTAGGTCGCGCATAGTATTCAAGTGCACCACTGTAAGAAAAAAGTCATAACATTTTCATAACATGTTATGAAACTATTTTCATAACATTGTTGTGAAATTGTTATGAAAAAGTCATAACACATATGTTATGAAAACTTATAAGGCTGTTATGAAAAAACGTGAAAAGAAAAACAAAAATGATTTCGTTATACTGGTAGCCATTTGATGCCATTGGTTGGACGGAATCATTCCGATACTGGCTTTTGTCGATGCTCTACTACCAGGATTCGAACCTCCACTCTTCTGGTTCGGAGTCGGAGGGTGAACCACTGAGCTACACCAAGTGCGTTGGAGGGAGAAGGATGGTGCAGGTATATGACTCCCCGCCGCGGCGGGCGAGTGTGTTATGAAAATTCATAACAAAATCATAACTATGTTATGAAAACTCATTACAAGCGACTTGTTATGATAGCGTTATGAAAAAGTTATGAATCGGTCGATGTTATGACTTTTCACATCAATCTTATAAAATTTCATAAAAAATTCGTTATAAAAAGTCATAACCGTTTTTACAGTGCAGGTGTCGACTGGTTCGGAGGAGGCGGCCGCGTCTGGCCCCGCTCCGCTTCCCCGTGCTTCACCGGGCATCGCCATGAACTTGGACCACATCCAGCCCAATTATGATAGTGAAAGTGACGACGAAGACACTCCCAAGGAGAAAGAGATGACTCAGCAAATGAAGACCGCGTTGGAGCGTGCCCGCCGCAACCCTGTGAGAACACTGGTTAAACTAAATCGTAGCGGTGGTGCCCTCTGCTTCCATTAGTTTTTAGATTTTACGCCTGAAATCAAGCGTGGCTCTTCCGCCTAGATTCCCCCTATTTTAATGTCACGTTCCTGGAATGAGAGTGAATTCAAGTGGAAATGTAGTCAGCAAAAGACGTTAGTTTCTGTAGGAATAATATATTTGCTTTAATTCGTTCCTTTTCCAATTTATTTTTCAAAATAAAAGAGGGGGGGAGGTAAGATAACTTGATTATTTACAATAGATTCATATAAAAACAAGTTGAGTCACCTCCCATCGGCACTATTTTCAACGGAGTCAAGTTGACTTCGGTTGAGTTGTTTCCATTTTCAGGCACACTGAGAGCGTAAAAGGGGTCCAGTTGCGTTAGACCTTTCTTCGGAGTGAATTTTTTCCCCACAACTGCGGGAATTGAGTCAGATAATTTGGTGCAATGATGTAAACAATTCATAGGCAATATAATAGGATAAAAATTCGATTCGGATAAGTCGTATGATTCATTTCTGACGCTTCCTGGATCAATTAGTACTTAAACCCCCACCTTCACACTGCGTAACGTATTTGATAGACGTCCCCTATAACCGGGCTCGTCTGATCTGCTCCATTTCCGGTTTAAAGCGTCTCCCTGTCCTCTCGCCGCACTTCGGATAATGCCACTTTCGTACGTCCTTATTTGGCAATTGACTATTTCGCTAGTTCCACTTCAACCCCACAAGCCTCCTCTTATCCAGGCGCTGAGGCTTATTGAAGGAGGCTTTTGATAGGCTGACGCGACCCGACTTCCGGTGCATGTACTTTTTCGAAGGATTGAAGTGGATCCAGCGAAATAGTCTACATATTACTATTTCTCCTGTAGGGCCTATGCGCAATGTAATGCAAACTTAATAAACGAGATTAGATTCCAGAAGCTCACACAAAAGTAGTTCTTGACGAAGTAAAGTTACGTGTCAAACACCTGGACCGGAAGTCACATAACAAAATTAAAGCTCAAGACGGCCATTAGGTACCTTCTTTCGGTAAAGGCTATATAAGCAAATCTTAGTATAACCCTCAGTGCACGCGTCGACGCTGGTTGCATGGGATATCAAAGAAAATGGACGACTTAACTTTGAATACGCTGAAACTTATTTGGGACTGGCTTTCGCTAAGGGTCGTCCATTTATTACGTTAAGTTCATTACATTAAATATGGGAGCTCATTTCAGATGTATACAAACACTACGCAAGAGTAACTAAAGCGATTACCTCAGAAATTTTCCGTGCCGGTAACGGTACGCTGTTAGAGGCCCTGGAACAGCGTAACATGGGGGGGGGGGAGGAGGGATCAAAAAGTGCTCGATATGCCGAATATATTTCATGGACAGCCCCTTACTTCCGGTCCAGGGACTTGTAACGCTAGCAGCATGTTGACGGACACCCAGTACGAAAGAAAAATTCTAGTCGTGGCCGAGTGAAGAACTAAAATGATCACGAAAGACAACTTTTTAGCACTTTTTATTCAAATATTTAAGACCCTTTGCTTGGCAGAAGTTCATTAGAATATTTTATGGTGAATTCAATACATTTTCAATGAACGCATACACTCTGACTGCCCTAAATGAGTCTTATGTGATTCTTCTCGTTCTTCACCTGGCTGGTCAAATGTGGTCAAATGTGACGAAGATTCACAGAAAATCAGAATAAACTAAATGTCAGGCTTACAACATGCTTATCTAAAAATTGTTGGACCCTCATACCTTATCTGGTGGCTGAAAATGATGTGAAGGGACACTGAGACGGTTTGTTGAGGTCCAATTCGGGCCTTTGAAATCGGGGCGATGAGACGTACACAGCAGAACCCCCTTACAACAGTCTTGAAGCACTCGCGTATGAAAGTACACAGAAACGTGTAAACTGAAGCACGGTCACGGTCTCCGGCGCACTAGACCTGACGTACCGCTGCCTCCTGGCTGGCTGGCGCTCCCCCACCCAACGGCCCACGCCTCCCCCCCCCCCCCCCCCCTATCCCATGCGGTGGTGGGGGTGCATGTGTTCGCTGGACCGTGTCTTGGCGTACCAGGCTCCGCGATAGCGCGCCTTCGGCAGGATTCTCTTCACCTACGCTACCCAAAAATTTTCGTCATCAGCGCTCTGAAATAGTATGATAACCAAGGTAGGTTTACGCCAGACCGCGTCTTGTCGTAACATGCGTTGCGATGTCTCGCGGCCTGTTCCTCCAATCCACGCCTGGCGTACCTGCCTTGGCCTGCGGCGCGGCGCATGCCTGCCTTCGGCAGGCATTGGCTTGTCCATCCCCGGTTACCAGACCCCCGTACATTCTAAATAGAGTTGTTTCATCTACAGATAACACGATCTTGACCCTTGTCACTTTTAAACTTGTCGAGGCTGGGGGGCGGACCCCCCTTTCTCCAAGACAGAAGTGATCTATCTGCAAAAAAACTCGATTTTTCGCCGTTTTTTAGGTGTTTTTCGGCTATAAAAACTGAACCAGTTGAGCTAGGATAGTGAAATTTCGCGTGTGCCGAGCCAAGAACACCTAATAAGCCTGCAAAATCTCAGCCAGATCGGCCGAGCCGTTTAGGAGGAGTAGTGTACACACACACACAGACAGACAGACGGACAGACAGACAGACAGACAAAAACTTTTCAACCGCACTGGAGTAACGGGCTTCGCTATCGCTCAGCCAATTAGACATAACATACACGGTAAGGTTTATGCCAGACCGCGTATTGTCGTAAACAGGCTTCGCTGATGTCTCGCGGCCTGTTTCTCCAATCCGCTCCTGGCGTACTACCTGGCCTGCGCCGCGAAGGCCTGCCTTTGGCAGGCATTGGGCTTTGTCCGTGGCGTTACTTGTTGCATGCTGGGGGGCTCCGACCCCCAGACCCCCCTTAAAGTCGATAGAGTTGCTTCATCTACAGGAAACACAATTTGACCCTTCGTAACTTTATTTACTTGTCGAGGCTGGGGGCTCCGCCCCCCAGACCCCCCTTCGTCTTCACGCCGAAGTGAATCTACCTAGAAAACTCGATTTTTCGCGTCGTTTGTTTTATGTGGTTTTTTTTCGGCTATAAAAAAACTTAACAGTTGAGCTAGGACAGTGAATTTCGCGTGTGGCGAGCCAAGAACATACCTAATAAGCCTGCAAAATCTCAGCCAGATCGGCAGAGCCGTTCAGGAGGAGTAGTGTACACACACACACAGACAGACAGAACAGACGGACAGACAGACCGACAGAAAACTTTCAACCGCACTGGCTTAACAGCCTTCGCTATCGCTCAGCCAATTAAACGTTTGTGCATGCATAACTATGCTAAAAATTCCAAAAAGAATTATTGCTCTGAAGCGAACCACCTCTGTTTTGAACCCTTCTAATAAGTCCTGCCGTACGAATGAGAATTGGGGGTTTCACGAGTTATTTTCAGCATATGTCATGTTACGTTTGTCGAACTTCAAAACGCATCTACTCATGCGTGACTGCCTCCTACAGCCATTCCTGTGCCCTTACCTCCTCTGCACCGCAAATTTTTTTGAATGAATATTTAAACCCTTCGTATGTACTACCCACTAAATGAACGGGCCGCGTCACGATTTAATGACTGCGCACTCGTATTCACGCTTTAAACCGTCAGCTAGGAACACTTTGAGTGTATGTAAAGGTTACAATTGTTGTAATTGGATTGTATGTTTATTTTCAGCATAAGTAGTTATAGTACAAATTTGTACACATCGCTGATGTCCACAGTAGTGAAATTAGCTTATTTCGCCGCATAAAAGAGACATATAGATTAAGAGAAATTCATAAATATATCCAGTTGCGACTAATCTACTACCTTCAAAACTCATCTACAGAATAGAATTCCATGTCCATCAGCCATGCTTCTCACTTTTTTTAGGAATCTTTTGTTCATTCATATTCCTTGAAATGTGTAAACGCAACGAGTCCGCAGACTTTCCAACCGACCCAGGGGGTATCTGCGAGCGGTCGTTACCAGAGGTGTTACAAGTCCGTGAGATTTTAATTGCCTGACATTTCAATAGAACATTTATCGCTTTTACCGGTGCTTCTATATGACAATACTCCTTTTCTCCATTTAAATGATGATAAAAATTTATCACTTTTGGGTTGGTTACTTGCGTTCATTTACTTGAGCAAAAAAATAATGTAACGTAGAGTCAGAAAGACGATAATACTGCAATTATTCTAGTTGTTCCCAGATGCTTGCACTGCATTTAAGGGCTTGTAATAACTCTGGCATCCTTTACGATTTCTTGGCATGACTCAAGAAATCGGAGGGCGTCTCACATCGAACTTCAACTCAAAGAAAAGTTACTATGAAATTTTTCGAGGTATGCAATGAATGAAAAGGAAGTTAAAAGTTACTGTACACTTTAAAAGCAAAAGATTTTACTGATAACGTTTGAAATTCGATGTCCTATTCACCCACACGGGATCAGAGAGGAAGGAGAGCAGCAAAACAGCGGCGCGCCACCTGTGAACCTTAAAAGAAGCAACATTAGTAATAGCAGTGAAGTTACGATTAAAATCAACAGGAGAGAGGGAACATATCTAATAATGACACTTCGTATTGTTTGATAATCAACTTTAAACAATCAGCAGAAATTTAATCAAAAATGGGAAGAAGTGAAAATAAAAAAGCCTCTGGCATATTGATTAGTTTTGATTCAAAGTTCTGTACTAATATTATGCAGAAGAAGGTAATTAACTATGTACACTGTAAGTTGGAAGTCCAAGATTAGGTGAACTTACACGAACCAAAAACACTTTCATTTAGCAATGATACATTAACATATTTTAAATCAAGGAGATGATAAGAATCAATTAAATCAATCGACCACCTGTACACTGCTTAAGTTAGTGAAATGCAGTCAAAAAAACATACTTCATTGAAAAAATTGTTCAATCACGAAAACAACATATATATTCACACACGGGAGAGGACTGGAGAGAGACGGAGAATGCAGAGAGGAACACGTTGAGGCCTTGGCGATGATACGACGTAAATCTTGCGTTGCGATGTTGTTGACGGTGCGCCAGGTGTCCATGATCCGAGACGTGCACCCGAAGGCCTGAACGTTCGGACATGACAACCTTAGGTCGAGCTGGATGACACAAGTTAAAGACGCGAAAGGTTTTAAGACTGAGACGTGCACCCGAAGGCCTATACGTTCGGTCAACCTCAAATCGAGCTGAAAAGCAAGACCCTGGATTCCTTTGACTCGCGGGAGGTGTAGAGACCGAGACGTGCACCCGAAGGCCTAAACGTCCGGTCAACCTCAAATCGAGCTGAAAAAAAGACCCTTTGATTCGCGGGAGGTGTAGAGACTGAGACGTGCACCCGAAGGCCTAAACGTCCAGTCAACCTCAAATCGGGCTGAAAAGCAAGAGATGGCGCATATTTTGACGGTTTCCGCGGCGATTTGATCGGATTGTGTTCTGCGGTCAGCGGTATACTGAATTGAGAACGGTTTGTGAGACTGTGTATGCTCTATGTCAAATGTCAGACCAGTTCGATAAAAGAATGCAACTTCAAACGGCGAGTGGACTTGCCACCAAGCATCGACATAAACTCTCATATCTATGTCAATACTTGGTCCAAGTCTCCACCAAACGCCTTAAAGTATAGCACTATTGTATGGACCTTTTCTGGCATTTAACATGGAGAGCATGACAGTATCAAGCAAGATCGACGGCGTGAGTCGCGACGAGGCCCTATCGACGGGATACTGTGTGAATATTTAGGTTGGCACTTGATGACAATTTCATGGCTTCTTTCCCTCACAAGAATGTCATCAAAACATGAGATGACAAAGTTGACACGCCCACGCAATAAGTATGGGAGCTTAGATGAAAAAGTCATCAATTTGTGAAGAAATTTTTATTAATTTAAAGTGATAAAACACGCTTATTCCAGGAACTTGACGTCACGTTGAAACGAATATGACAAAATGTCACGTTCCTTTGAGCATTGTGTTACATTCATTTCAGCGTGATGCCACGTTCCTGAATTAAGTGTCAACCACGATTTTGTCATCAAGTGACAACTAATTATTTAGTGTAAGCGCTTTATGAGGCTGCACACTCTATGTCAAATGTCCGTTCCGACCCATCATATGACCGCAACTCCAGTGAGCCAGCGGACCTGCCGTCACGTATCAACACAAACTCTCGTATCCATGTAAACACGTGACGTCAGTATTCGCCAAACGCGCAAAACGTTGCACCACCTGATGGATCTTTACTGGCATAGGGCATGGAGAGTGTAACAGCAGCGTAGGATCGACTGGTCGGTAAATGCAAGACGGATCAGAGCAAACGTGCCTCACTGCGGCTGGAAGTGCATGACGCTGTCGTAGTGGTTCCACAGCGGCGCGTCGTCTTCTTCTCCAGCAGGAGCCAGGCGGTAGACCACGGCGATGTCGCGCGTGGCGTTGCCGCCAGGCGGGGAGAACACCAATTGTTGGAACCCACCTTCGGAGTGCATGGTCACGTTGACTTGCTCCATCTCTGCGACGGCCCGCATGGTCTCGCTGCCGCCCCACCTCCTGGCCATCCTCGTCGTACTGCGGGTAGCGGTGAAGAAGGCCGTTCACAGTGGTGCGTAGGATTTCGATCCAGTTGGCTGCCTCAGGCCCCACAAGCTGGGCCCTGATGTGCTGGACCACGCGTTGACGGAGCGCAGCTATCTGTGCGTCGTGGGCGGGGCCGTACTGGATGGAGCCGTTAAGCTGGTGCAGCAGGGAGTTGAAGAGGCAGTGGCCGTCACCGCCAATCCGGGCCGCAGTCACGGTGCCTCCATGCACCTGCACGCCGACGTCCACAGGTAGAGCTGGGGGGCGACGGGAAGGCTGTCCACGGGCACCTCTGCCGGCCCTGCCCCGCGGAGCACCGCGGCCACGCTTGGAGGGGCCACTGTCCGGAGGCTGCGACGATGGTCTGCGGCCGCCGCGGCCGCGAGCGGGAGGTGGGGGTGGAGGCAGTGGACGGGGCGGTGGTGACGGCGTCCCCTGAGGAGGCAGAGCACTGCCTTGATCCATGGCGTCGATGAGACGCTGAGTAGCGCGGGCCAGCCTCTCAATGCGCGCGATGACGTCGGCCTTCTTCTGCACACTGGGCCTCTTCTGCAGTTTGTCAAGCCTGTCTTGCACGAACGCGTTCTCGATGAGGAGGCCGCTCCACTCTCTGCACCTGGACAGCGCCACGTAGGCGAGGCCCGCAGAGAACTCTTGGTTGCCGATGTCGACCACGACGCGGTCCACGCTGAGTCCCTGTGCGGCGTGCACGGTGCAGCCCCACGCCAAGTTCAAGGGAAACTGTTCACGGGTACACATGGTCTGGCCTTCCTTCCAGGACCGCATGATGGTGCAGATGGGGACGGAGCCGTCTGCCGCTAGGGCTGGCCCCGAGTAGCGGTCGAACTTCACCATGATGACAGCAGGAGCCACGTCTGGAGGCCTGGAGCCCTCGGAGTACACAATACCAGCAACAGTCCCTGAAGCGCCGTTCACAAGTCCAGCTCGGGTCCACAGGTTGGCCCTCAGCATCACTCGGGAGCCAACACTCAAGTGCAAGGTGGCGCTAAGTCCTCCTGCGGTCGCGGTGGGAGCAGCCGCCGCAGTGGCGTTGTTGTGCCTGGCCGGGATGCGGGCCACGGGGCGGCCAAGGCGCTCCAGCCTGCTGACGTTGTACGCCGCCGCGCCCTTGTTGATGGGGAAGATGTGCAGGGCGTCGCGGAAGAGGCGCTGCTCGGCTGGCGGCACGCGGTGGGAGAAGCGCTGGCGGTAGCGCTCGAAGGCTTCGGCCGAGCACTTGCCCAAACCCAACTCGTCCAGCGCAGCGCGGAAGGAAGGGTCGGACTGGCGCTGGGACTCCCGTAGCACGACGGCGTGCCGGAAGTCTTGGAATGCCCTCCGGCCGTTCAGTTCCATGGCGGTGGAGCCGGTGTTGGAGAAGATGGGCTTCATGCGGACGGGGGGCAGCTGGGCCAGGTCGCCGATGAGGTACACGTAGAGCCCACCGAACGTTTCGCTGCTGCCTGGCTTGCCTTCGGCGCAGCGGCGCTCCATCATGCCCAAGATGGGCAAGCCGATCATGGAGTACTCGTCCACAATGAGGAAGCGGACCGGCTCCATGGATTCCTGGAACATCTTGGCACGTTCACCGGTGAGGGGCGCGAATGCGGACATGGGGACGGTGAGCAGCAGCGCGCTGTGGATGGTTTCGCCGTCGATATTGTCGGCCGCCGCCCCAGTCGGCGCCACCAGGAGGAAGCTGCGGGGGCCGAAGGCAGCCACGATGCGGGACTTCATGACGGCGATGACGGTGGACTTGCCGCAGCCAGCCTTGCCCTGCACGATGACTCGCATTGGCGGCGGCGGGCCACCGGCTCCTTGCGCGGCGGCGATCTGGCGGTCCAGGATGCGGATCACGGCGGACTGCTCCACAGTCAGCTGGACGTCGGGGGCCACGGCGGTTTCGGCTTCAAACTCATGATGGTCTTTACTCAGTTCCACGGCGTGCATCAACTGACCGACGTCCCCGTAGGTGGCAGCGTCCGCAGCCCAGTCGTGCGCCAAGTCCATCTCTCTTCGGCCAATCTCGATGCGCTGCACGTCCTGGTTTGGGTGCTGCCGGGCGATCACCATCCACTCCTCGTCGGGTTCAGCCTCGGGGAAGTCCAGGTCCTCGAGCTCGTCGTCCTCGTTGACCTGCGGCGCGGGCTGGCCCCCACGCGGGACGATGTCATGCTGCGCGTAGACCTCGTGCCAGTTGGCGTGCTCTCCGAGCACAGCGTCCTCGTCACGCCACGGCACGTGAAGCAGCACTTGCTGGCGGTAGAAGCCCTCGTCGCGGATCTCGTTGCCCGTGAGTCGGAGACGGGGGAAGACGCAGACGACGGCGACCTTCCTTCTTCTGTACCACCTAGAACAGCAAAACCAGATAAAACCTCACGATTCAACACATCACTTAAAGGCCGCTCCCCTGCTTTACTGTAAAGACAGAGTTTGGTAAGAATCCTTCCTTTGGTAAGTTGGTTTCAAGGTGAGACTATTTTGCAAAAATGAAATCTAGTTTCTGGATCAATATTCTTACATGTTACTTGTAAATGTTAATTTTTCACTTCTTCGATTTATTCTTTGGAGATTGCGGCTTTAACAGATTGAAAGGTTTGATTAAGTATCATTGACAAGTTGCCCAAGCCATAAAATACAGATGGAAAGATTCGTCGACAGTAAAACTTAATGGTAAAAAGAACTATTACTTGGCAACGCAACCAAGTAAAATGTAACCAAATTTGTCTAATAAAAGCAAGAGTAAATCACTGTGAATTTCGGTGTGCAAATCCAATGACTTTCAGTCAAATTTCGATTCATTTCAGCCACATTTCGGTCAATTTTAGACGGAATTCGTAGAATTTTAGACGAAATTCAATGAAGTACAGAAGAAATTAGACGAATTTCATACGAAATTTGATGAATTTCAGACGAAATTTGATGAATTTCAGACGAAAGTTGATGAATTTTGATAGAATTTTGATGAATGTTACTTAACTTTCGTAAATTTTAAAAGTTTGATGAAATCTGGTGTACAAATTTGACTGGAGTTATTTACTCTAGAATAAAAGTCTAAAAAGTCGCGCTAAGTGTTCATGTTCAATTTGGTACGTGGTATTGCATGATTTTATACCTGGATAAAGTTTTGCATTAAATTTTGCTCAAATTCGCATCAATTTGTGCACATTTCCGCAGAATATTATATGCTAATACACGTATACAAAAAAAATTGCAAGATATACGCACAAAATTTTACACTTACGCTTAGTGTGCTTGGAAAGCCGTAAATTAAAGACTGTTAACGGGGTCATTCGTATTCTATTTAATAAAGCACGCGTAATTTGAGAGATCCGTTCAAGGATGAAAAAGTTTCAGTATCAGTTTTGTCTAAGTTTCGAATTAAGTTAAAACGAGAGCGAGGCAAAACGTGGTATTTAACACAAGCGACAATCGGTGTAAAGACGAGTAAAAAAATGGCAACTTACCTCCGTGTTTGCCTGTTGAACTGGAACTCCCGGGCAAACTCCCACAGCGTAATGTTCTCGAGGTTGGCTGGTCTCTTCGGATACTTGTCCAGAATAGAGCCCCGAGGGAGTTCCTCTTCTAGGACAAGTTCGCCATCTTGGTCGTAGTCTGCATCCTCGTTGGGGCTGTCGGGATCGTCGGCTTCAACATCGTCGGCCACATCTTCATTTTGAGCGCTGTGTCCGACCGGAACCCAATTCCTGTCTGTAAAGACGATCTTGACGAAGGCCCTGCTGGAGCGGAACAATTTCTGAGAAGTGGCCAAGTGAAGAATTTCCTGCGAAGAGTAGTCACGCTCACTGACGGACTGGATGCAGCGGCGTTGGATGGCTTTCTTGGCGCTGTCCTCTTCCTGAAGTCCAGACAGAGCGTCCTCGAAAAGCTCCTGCATAGTTTTCGACTTGTTCTCGGGCTTGGCGGTGTACTTGGCCAGGTAGTTGACGCAGCCATCGTGCGAGGTGACCGGCTTGGCGTCCATGTTCGCTCTCCAAGCCTCGATGACTGCAATGATGAAGCCGTTGATAAGTTCGTCATTCCGCCGCCCGATGAACTTAGCCTCTCCTTTGTCGTCGAAGACGATGGAATTCTCTTCGGCCAACTCAAACGGGAACTTGAAGCGGCACACAATAGCGCCAGTCTTGTCCTTCCGCAGGCAGTAGTTGGCAGTGCACTTGTGGCGTTGAACGCGGTTGAGAAGCTCCCCCAAGGCCCGCTCCCGGTCCTCGGCGGGAATGTCGCCAAGGCGGATGCGGCAAGGGTGCTGCACCGCGGGCGGAAGCCCCTGGCCGAAGTTGAAGCAGCTCACGATGTTGGAGAAGTACTCCACAGCGGCGGCGAGCTCCTCAGGGGTCATGTCCTTGACGCGCATCATGTCTGGGGCCCCTCGAAGCCAGATGAGGCAATGTACGTGCGGACTTCCGCGAAATTGCCACTCGTAACGGAACCAGATGTCAGTAACAGGGTACATCAACTTCAGGATCTTGATGAGGAAGAGTTCCGCCCTCTTCATGAAGAACATGCTGGGCACGAATGGCCGATTCGCGATGAAGTTTCGGCGGTGTTCTTCGGTGAGCTCTTCAAGTAGAACGCGTTCTTCCACTGAAAGCCCCTCGCAGGCCAGGAAGAGGCGAAACAGGTCAGGCCAGTGGAAGTCGGCGGCACTCAAAGTCAAGAAGAGCGTGGGCAAACCGATCTGGTCAATCATGTCCAACAGCTCACTGAGGCGCGCACCCCAGTACTGCCGAGTGGCCGGCAGCTTGGTGCCGTAGAACATGATGTTCTTGGCGAGCACGGCGCACTCCCGCACCATTTCCCGCAGCTGGCGCACGGTCTTCCCTTGCAGGTGCTCGTTGCGGCGGACGTAGAGGTTCCCCGCGCGGAGAGCGTCGTGGCGCATGACGGTGTTGAAGGCGAAGAAGCGGAACCGCGCGTCGTCCGCGAATCGCCCCGAGCGGTGCTGCAGCAAGTGCGAGAAGTACTGCCGTGCTGAGATGCCGTGCGACCGGGCCTCGTAGAGGTCCGCTCTGCCGAACGGGAAGAGCTTGGGGAAGGCCATGACGACGTACCCCGCCGTCGCCTCGCTGACCGGGTCGGTGCCGCGAGTGGGGTAGTTGAGTACGGCGTGCACCTGGTCTTCTTGGCGGTGCGGCTGAAGCATCGGCACTCCAGACACGGCGATGTCGTCCACGTCGACGTGGTCCACGCTGGACTCATCATGCGGGTCGTCAGGGTCGTCGGGGTCCTCTTCCTGGGCGGCGTAGCCCTGCACGACTTGGTAGGCGTCGCCGTCCTCCGGGAGAAGGGCCAGGTTGCCCTCGCTGACCTCGACGTTGGCGTAGTACGGGTTGTTGTCGCGCAGCCACAGCAGAGCCTGCCGCACCACGCCGGCGCGCACTCGGAAGTCCACGTGGCCGTCGGCCCTCTGCTGGCGCACGGCGATGATGGAGGAGAGGTCCTGAATGCGGTGGGGAAGTGCGCGCGCCAAGTCGTTGACTTCCTGGGGGAAGTTGATGACGTTTCCTCGGTATCCGAACTGGTGGCCTCGGATCTTGTAGACGGACACGACGGGGTGGATTCGCGCGATGAGTTGGGCCTCCACGAAGGAGAGCCGCTCGAGCTCCGGGGGCACCACACCGGGGTCCATGAAGTCCTGCGAGAACTTGGCGCATGTTCGCCTGGGGCAAGGCTTGTTCACGAACTCCATCCTCCTCACGTTGCAGCTGTCGCAGTAGTCCCAGTGTAGGCCCTGCATGGCGTGCTCGAAGACTTGCCAAGGAGGCAGTGCCTCCGGTCGAGCGCCACGCACCCTGGGCTCCGCAGGATCGGAGTTGACGTTGACAACGCGGGAACGAAGGTGACGGACATTGTCGAGGTCGAGCCGCGCCTGGCGTTGTTCTGCTGACTCTTCAGAACGTGCTGCGCGGTGCCTCTCAACGTCTGACTGGCGACGAGCCTCTCTCGCTTCTTCTTCTTCTGCAGCTCTTCTCGCTGCTGCTCGAACAGCATCGGCGACGCGGCGAGCCTCTCTCGCTTCTCTTCTTCTGCAACTCTTCTCGCTGCTGTTCGAGCAGCATCGCCGATGCGACGAGCCTCTCTCGCTTCCTCTTCTTCTGCAACTCTTCTCGCTGCTGCTCGAGCAGCATCGCCGATGCGACGAGCCTCTCTCGCTTCCTCTTCTCCTGCAACTCTTCTCGCTGCTGCTCTCGAGCAGCATCGGCGATGTGACGAGCCTCTCTTGCTTCCTCTTCTTCTGCAGCTCTTCTCGCTGCTGCTCGAGCAGCATCGGCGATGTGACGAGCCTCTCTTGCTTCCTCTTCTTCTGCAGCTCTTCTCGCTGCTGCTCGAGCAGCATCGCCGATGCGACGAGCCTCTCTCGCTGCTTCTCGTTCTGCAGCTCTTCTTGCGGCTGCTCGAGTAGAATCGGCGGCACGGCGAGCCTCTCTCTCTGCGCCCTCCTCTGCAGCTCGTCGGGCGGCTTCCCGTGCAGCATTCACGGCGCGGCGAGCCTCTCTCTCTTCAGGTCTCTCCGCAGCTCTTCTTGCAGCTTCCCTCGAAGCGTTGGCAAGGCGACGAGCCTTGCCCTTGTCCTCAGGCTCCGCAGCCCTGGCAGCAGCTGTCTGTGCAGCATTCTGGGCGCGGCGCGCAGCGTCACTCTTCTTTCCCTTTCGCGGCATATTGAGAACTTACCTAGAACAAATACATAACAGCAAGTAAAGTATTTATTATCCTGTTCACTTCATAGACAGAACAGATTGAGGCCTAAAGTTTTTTTAAAACGGATAAATATCCGAATGATTATGGACATGCATGTTAGCAAAGTGGTAACGAGACGTTAGTTTCTCAACTGCATAATTGTTTTCACAAAGTGCGACGTTGACGCTCAGAAAAAACTCTTCGGCTTTCATGACGAAAGAAAAGAGTTTAAAATACATGGAAAGGACATGAACCGTCCTTGGATCAAAACACAAAGTAACACATGCACTCTCATCTTCGTATGACTTTTCCTCTCATGTTAAGTACTTTAAACGAAGTTAAATGTACTATTTTCTTTTTGGCTATACACAGTTTTGACGGTTTTAAGAATAAAATTGTAAATGTGACACATATAAACGTATATATACAATGTCAAATAATAAGGTTTAAATCCTCTATAAAATTAACAATGTTCTTGTGAAGCTCAAGAGAAAAAAAGTACATCTAACGTCTCATTAAAATACTTTAAAAGGGGAGAAAAATCAAAGGAACAAATTGTCACTTCGAGGCTGAAACAGCAGAAAGTCGATGTTTGCAATAAGATGTTAATCTAAACGCTGCGTGATATACGAGTCAAAGAACGCACTCTCATTCTAGGAACATGACATCACGTTGAAACGAACGTGACGAAATTTCACGTTCGTTTGAATGTGAACAAGCTGATTTTCGGCCGATTCAGCAACGGATGTGACACAATGCCCAAAGGAACGTGACTTTCTGGCACGTTAGTTTCAACGTGATGTCACGTTCGGGTTGAGAGTACGGGCGGATTGAGTGTCGAAAAGAGATGTATGATCTTTGAATAGAGTAAAAAAGATAGTGCGCTTAGATAGCACTGAAAAAAGTTTTCGTAACTTAACGACATTTTTCGCTACAAATACTTCGTTAATCTTACGAATAGCCCGGAAGGCTCAATATACGAATTGTTCGTGAATATAATAAAATAATCAACATCAGCTCAAAAGCAGCTACACTCAACAAGTTTTTCGTAAAATAACGATTAATTGTCGGAACATTCATCCTAAAATTACGAATGTGTACACTCTGCAAACGCAAACTTTAAAATGTATGCCTCGACGCAATCTGTATACAGTTTCTAACTGTGTGTCCAGGACCCATTAGACCAGCTCTTATTTTGCGGAAGTGAGAATTCCGCTGGGTTCCCCGACTCAAAATGACCGAAATGGTGAGAAAATTCTTAATTTGAAAGCCCAAGGTCGTCAGACTTACCAAAGCCGTGCCCCAAAACCCTATATAAAGGCAAAAAGCCAATTTTTTTTTTTTTCGGACTTTTACCAAACTAAGTTTGACTCTAGGGTAAACAGGTCATAATACGACCCTTGGGGCGAAAATGTCGTCCGTTTTGCGATATCTCGACTCCTTTATGCCCAAACGGCCTCCCCAACCGCGAGCATAAAAAAGACGCCGCGCGGGCGGTTGGGGAGGCCGCTTGGGCATGAAGGAGTCGAGATATCGCAAAACGGACGAAATTTTCGCCCAACGGGTCGTATTATGGCCTGTTTACCCTAGCGTTAAACTTAGTTTAGTGAAAATCCGAAAAAAAAATCTGGCTTTTTGCCTTTTAAAAGGGTCTTGGGGCACGGCTTTGGTAAGTCTCACGACCTTGGGCTTTCAAATTAAGAGTTTTCTCACCATTTCGGTCATTTTGAGTCAGGGAACCCAGCGGAATTCTCACTTTCGCAAAATAAGAGCTGGTCTAAGGACCCATGCAGTGTCGCTGTTCCCAAGTGTGTGCCTGGCTAGCACACTGCTCTACAAACTGTACACACTTCAGTTTGTAGAGTGTTTAAAACAGTGTGCCTGCCGGCACACACTTTGGAACAGTGTTCCTGTACACTGTCAGAAATTTCCGAAAAAAAAAAAATTGGAAAAATCATGGTTTTTCCGAAACTTCTGCATGGAGCTCACCATAAAGGCAAGCTCTGGGCTTTCTCCGTAAAGTTTCGGAATTTTGAACAGAAATGCATGCTTCACTATCAGGAAATCACGAAAACAATATTTGTAACCGGTTACAAATGAGGGAAAGGTGAACCCTTTCTTGTTTAGCTCAGTTTTCATAATATTAAGGGAAACCGCCAGGATATAGGTCAAATGAGCTCGACGGAGATTCTCCCTTCTTTGGCCATTTTAGACTAAAGAATGCTTCGGCAAAGCCCTCTTTAACATATCTGAGAAAAGACATGCATTTTACCTCCCATCAGGACCCAAGTAATGCTCCGAAGAAGAATCTAAGCCCTCCTGAAAAATCTCTCCGGTAAGAGATGGTAAACGAATGGAGTCTCCATGAACGTGATTATAGAGTTTTTCACCATTAAATTTCGAACCTAATTTCCAACAGTGTTGGCATACACTTTTAAGAAAAAGACATGCACACATTTGAGTTTCCAGAGCAGATAAATTTTTTTCCATGCATCACTCATACCAAAAATAACGAAAAACTCCAAAACGAATACGTACGTTATAATTTTATACTTCAGTAATTCAAAATTTCCGAGAATTTAGTTAAATTTTAACAAATTTGACGTTAAGGTGGATAAAAGTGATTGTTAACTCAATACAATGAAGCTCAGTAGTACTATATTTTAGAAAGCGCCAGACCCTTCGTGGCGTTAGGAGCACTTTAAGAGAAAAAACGGAAAGAGCGCCGGTGCGCCATTGATCCACGAAGCGGAAAAGGGATAACACGATTTTAGCAATTTCTCAGGGGATGAAAAACTGTTGGCAGGGCAACTAAAACTGAAAATGCTATAGTGTGCACTGTCAGATGAGCTGTAGACATAAAGGAGGAGCTATAAATGATATGTTGTAAGCTAAATGATACCAGTTCAGAAGCATTAATTGTATTTTAAGATAAACAAAAGTGGAGTAATCCTCCACTCCGTGGAAGGATTACTGTCACTTATCGCTTCCGTTTAAAAAGAAATCCAACTTACATTTCCTAAACGAAATGGAGTTTAAAGACAAAACTATCATTCTAGGAACGTGACATCACGTTGAAAGGAACGTGACAAAATGTCACGTTCGTTTGAGCATTGTGTCATGTTCGTTTGAATGTGGACAGGCTGATTTTTGGCTAATTCACACCCAAACGACTGTGACACAATGCTCGAACGAACGTGACATTTTGTCACGTTCGTTTCAACGTAATGTCACGTTCCTGGAATGAGAGTGAATTCAAGTGGAAATGTAGTCAGCAAAAGACGTTAGTTTCTGTAGGAATAATATATTTGCTTTAATTCGTTCCTTTTCCAATTTATTTTTCAAAATAAAAGAGGGGGGGAGGTAAGATAACTTGATTATTTACAATAGATTCATATAAAAACAAGTTGAGTCACCTCCCATCGGCACTATTTTCAACGGAGTCAAGTTGACTTCGGTTGAGTTGTTTCCATTTTCAGGCACACTGAGAGCGTAAAAGGGGTCCAGTTGCGTTAGACCTTTCTTCGGAGTGAATTTTTTCCCCACAACTGCTGGGAATTGAGTCAGATAATTTGGTGCAATGATGTAAACAATTCATAGGCAATATAATAGGATAAAAATTCGATTCGGATAAGTCGTATGATTCATTTCTGACGCTTCCTGGATCAATTAGTACTTAAACCCCCACCTTCACACTGCGTAACGTATTTGATAGACGTCCCCTATAACCGGGCTCGTCTGATCTGCTCCATTTCCGGTTTAAAGCGTCTCCCTGTCCTCTCGCCGCACTTCGGATAATGCCACTTTCGTACGTCCTTATTTGGCAATTGACTATTTCGCTAGTTCCACTTCAACCCCACAAGCCTCCTCTTATCCAGGCGCTGAGGCTTATTGAAGGAGGCTTTTGATAGGCTGACGCGACCCGACTTCCGGTGCATGTACTTTTTCGAAGGATTGAAGTGGATCCAGCGAAATAGTCTACATATTACTATTTCTCCTGTAGGGCCTATGCGCAATGTAATGCAAACTTAATAAACGAGATTAGATTCCAGAAGCTCACACAAAAGTAGTTCTTGACGAAGTAAAGTTACGTGTCAAACACCTGGACCGGAAGTCACATAACAAAATTAAAGCTCAAGACGGCCATTAGGTACCTTCTTTCGGTAAAGGCTATATAAGCAAATCTTAGTATAACCCTCAGTGCACGCGTCGACGCTGGTTGCATGGGATATCAAAGAAAATGGACGACTTAACTTTGAATACGCTGAAACTTATTTGGGACTGGCTTTCGTTAAGGGTCGTCCATTTATTACGTTAAGTTCATTACATTAAATATGGGAGCTCATTTCAGATGTATACAAACACTACGCAAGAGTAACTAAAGCGATTACCTCAGAAATTTTCCGTGCCGGTAACGGTACGCTGTTAGAGGCCCTGGAACAGCGTAACATGGGGGGGGGGAGGAGGGATCAAAAAGTGCTCGATATGCCGAATATATTTCATGGACAGCCCCTTACTTCCGGTCCAGGGACTTGTAACGCTAGCAGCATGTTGACGGACACCCAGTACGAAAGAAAAATTCTAGTCGTGGCCGAGTGAAGAACTAAAATGATCACGAAAGACAACTTTTTAGCACTTTTTATTCAAATATTTAAGACCCTTTGCTTGGCAGAAGTTCATTAGAATATTTTATGGTGAATTCAATACATTTTCAATGAACGCATACACTCTGACTGCCCTAAATGAGTCTTATGTGATTCTTCTCGTTCTTCACCTGGCTGGTCAAATGTGGTCAAATGTGACGAAGATTCACAGAAAATCAGAATAAACTAAATGTCAGGCTTACAACATGCTTATCTAAAAATTGTTGGACCCTCATACCTTATCTGGTGGCTGAAAATGATGTGAAGGGACACTGAGACGGTTTGTTGAGGTCCAATTCGGGCCTTTGAAATCGGGGCGATGAGACGTACACAGCAGAACCCCCTTACAACAGTCTTGAAGCACTCGCGTATGAAAGTACACAGAAACGTGTAAACTGAAGCACGGTCACGGTCTCCGGCGCACTAGACCTGACGTACCGCTGCCTCCTGGCTGGCTGGCGCTCCCCCACCCAACGGCCCACGCCTCCCCCCCCCCCCCCCCCCTATCCCATGCGGTGGTGGGGGTGCATGTGTTCGCTGGACCGTGTCTTGGCGTACCAGGCTCCGCGATAGCGCGCCTTCGGCAGGATTCTCTTCACCTACGCTACCCAAAAATTTTCGTCATCAGCGCTCTGAAATAGTATGATAACCAAGGTAGGTTTACGCCAGACCGCGTCTTGTCGTAACATGCGTTGCGATGTCTCGCGGCCTGTTCCTCCAATCCACGCCTGGCGTACCTGCCTTGGCCTGCGGCGCGGCGCATGCCTGCCTTCGGCAGGCATTGGCTTGTCCATCCCCGGTTACCAGACCCCCGTACATTCTAAATAGAGTTGTTTCATCTACAGATAACACGATCTTGACCCTTGTCACTTTTAAACTTGTCGAGGCTGGGGGGCGGACCCCCCTTTCTCCAAGACAGAAGTGATCTATCTGCAAAAAAACTCGATTTTTCGCCGTTTTTTAGGTTTTTTTCGGCTATAAAAACTGAACCAGTTGAGCTAGGATAGTGAAATTTCGCGTGTGCCGAGCCAAGAACATACCTAATAAGCCTGCAAAATCTCAGCCAGATCGGCCGAGCCGTTTAGGAGGAGTAGTGTACACACACACACAGACAGACAGACGGACAGACAGACAGACAGACAAAACTTTTCAACCGCACTGGAGTAACGGGCTTCGCTATCGCTCAGCCAATTATACATAACATACACGGTAAGGTTTATGCCAGACCGCGTATTGTCGTAAACAGGCTTCGCTGATGTCTCGCGGCCTGTTTCTCCAATCCGCTCCTGGCGTACTACCTGGCCTGCGCCGCGAAGGCCTGCCTTTGGCAGGCATTGGGCTTTGTCCGTGGCGTTACTTGTTGCATGCTGGGGGGCTCCGACCCCCAGACCCCCCTTAAAGTCGATAGAGTTGCTTCATCTACAGGAAACACAATTTGACCCTTCGTAACTTTATTTACTTGTCGAGGCTGGGGGCTCCGCCCCCCAGACCCCCCTTCGTCTTCACGCCGAAGTGAATCTACCTAGAAAACTCGATTTTTCGCGTCGTTTGTTTTATGTGGTTTTTTTTCGGCTATAAAAAAACTTAACAGTTGAGCTAGGACAGTGAATTTCGCGTGTGGCGAGCCAAGAACATACCTACTAAGCCTGCAAAATCTCAGCCAGATCGGCCGAGCCGTTCAGGAGGAGTAGTGTACACCACCCCCAAGCAGACAGAAGACGGACAGACAGACAGACAAAATTTTTCAACCGCACTGGAGTAACAGGCTTCGCTATCGCTCAGCCAATAACATATAAACGTATCTGTGCATGCATAACTATGCATAAAAAAGTCCAAAAGAATTTAGTGTGCTCTGAAGCGAACCATCCTCTGTTGTTGAACCCTTCTAAACTAAGTCAGGCCGTACGAAGGAGACTGGGGGTTTCACGAGTTATTTTCAGCATATGTCATGTTACGTTATTCGAACTTCAAAACGCATCTACTAATGGGCGTGACTGCCTACCTACACGCCATTCCTGTGCCTTACCTCCTCTGCCCGCAAATTATTTTTGAAAATAGAATATTTAAACCCTTCGTAATGTACTACCCACTAAATGAAAGGGCCGCGTCACGATTTAATGACTGCGACATCGTATTCACGCTTAAAACCGTCACTAGGAACACTTTGAGTGTATGTAAAGGTACAAATTGTTGTATTGGATTGTATTGTTTATTTTCAGCATAAGTAGTTATATACAAAATTTGTACACATCGCTGATGTCACAGTAGTGAAATTAGGCTTATTTCGCCGCATTAAAAGAGACATATAGATTAAGAGAAATTCATAAATAGTATCACAGTTGACCTATCTACTACCTTCAATAAACTCATCTACAGAATAGAATTCCATGTCCATCAGCCATTGCTTCACTTTTTTTTAGGAATCTTTTGTTATCACAAGTAGGTTTACGCCAGCCCGCTCTTGTCGTAACAGGCTTTGCGATTCTCGCGGCCGTTCCTCCAATCCGCGCCTGGGTTTCCTTGGCCTGCGGCGCTAGCCTGCCCGGCAGGCATTGGCTTGTCCATCGTCGGTTACTTCTTACGGTTTCATCTGGGGGGCTCCGCCCCCCGACCCTCCTTAATTCGATAGAGTTGCTTCATCTACAGATAACACGATCTTGACCCCTTTTCACTTTTTTTCTTTTCGAGGCGGGGGGGTCCGCCCCCAGACCCCCTTTCTTCAAGACAGAGGTGATCTACCGCAGAAAACTCGATTTTTCGCCGTTTTTATGTGTTTTTCGGCTATAAAAACTGAACCAGTTGAGCTAGGATGGTGAAATTTCGCGTGTGCCGAGCCAAGAACATACCTAATAAGCCTGCAAAATCTCAGCCAGATCGGCCGAGCCGTTCAGGAGGAGTAGTGTACACACAACACAGACAGACAGACAGACGACAGACAGACAGACAGACAAAACTTTTCAACCGCACTGGAGTAACGGCTTCGCTATCGCTCAGCCAATTAATATCCTTGAATACTGATGGTAATTTATTATACATTTGGGCCGAATGATCAAAGACTGATTTATTGCTGCTGTGTTCTCTGAACACACTTTTCCCATTCCTAGTATTATATTGGTGCTTTTCACCAACAGTCAAAGAATTGCAAAGTCTAATATGTTTTACACATTGGTACAGATGTATTGAGGGAAAAGTTAGTATTTTGAGTTTTTTAAAGAGGCCCCTGCATGTTTTCCTATTGAGAGATGGGCCATAGAAGAGAAGTCTAACAGCTTTTTTCTGCTTTCTAAAGATGGATTTAGTCACAATAGTGGCACAGCTAGGGTTTCCCCATATTAGGGCACCACAGGTCAGATGGGAGTGGACATAAGCATAATAGACATATAGTGCTTCTGATCGATGTAGCATCTGAATTGCCTGAGATAAGGTATAAATCCCTCTGTTTAGTTTGGTTAGGCAGCCTTCAATGTGCGTTTTTGGCTGAGCGATAGCGAAGCCCGTTACTCCAGTGCGGTTGAAAAGTTTTGTCTGTCTGTCTGTCTGTCCGTCTGTCTGTCTGTCTGTGTGTGTGTGTACACTACTCCTCCTAAACGGCTCGGCCGATCTGGCTGAGATTTTGCAGGCTTATTAGGTATGTTCTTGGCTCGGCACACGCGAAATTTCACTATCCTAGCTCAACTGGTTCAGTTTTTATAGCCGAAAAACACCTAAAAAACGGCGAAAAATCGAGTTTTTGGCAGAAAGATCACTCCTGTCTTGGAGAAAGGGGGGTCCGCCCCCCAGCCTCGACAAGTTTAAAAGTGACAAGGGTCAAGATCGTGTTATCTGTAGATGAAACAACTCTATTTAGAATGTACGGGGGTCTGGTAACCGGGGATGGACAAGCCAATCCAGGCACTTTTAAAGTGTACAGTAACTTTTAACTTCCTTTTCATTCATTGCATACCTCGAAAAATTTCATAGTAACTTTTCTTTGAGTTGAAGTTCGATGTGAGACGCCCTCCGATTTCTTGAGTCATGCCAAGAAATCGGTAAAGGATGCCAGAGTTATTACAAGCCCTTAAATGCAGTGCAAGCATCTGGGAACAACTAGAATAATTGCAGTATTATCGTCTTTCTGACTCTACGTTACATTATTTTTTTGCTCAAGTAAATGAACGCAAGTAACCAACCCAAAAGTGATAAATTTTTATCATCATTTAAATGGAGAAAAGGAGTATTGTCATATAGAAGCACCGGTAAAAGCGATAAATGTTCTATTGAAATGTCAGGCAATTAAAATCTCACGGACTTGTAACACCTCTGGTAACGACCGCTCGCAGATACCCCCTGGGTCGGTTGGAAAGTCTGCGGACTCGTTGCGTTTACACATTTCCTCCTAAGTTTCAGCTAGCGGATTGTCTTCTCAATAGACATTGTCCTTCTAGCACACCAAAGAAACCTCTCCTTCACGGGAAAAGTTTTACTGAATTGCTGTGGTTTCAATAGCTCACTATTAAGAATTGGCTCAAAACAGTTTTGGACCTCGATTTGAGTGCATAAAAAATTGTAACCCTGCACATTTGGCATACTCTGCATATTCTTCTTCAACCCTTCACCACAAAGTGCTCTTCTCATTGCTTCAACTTAAAAATCTGTGATAGCTTGCCGAAGGCAAGCAGTAAGCGCCGCAGGCCAAGGTAGGTGTAAACGCCAGGCGTGGATTGTCGTAACTAGCGGAGCATCGCGAAGCCTGTTACGACAAGACACGGTCTGGCGTACACCTACCTTGTCCACTTGAGATCATTTGTTAGAGTCAACCCAAGGAAATTTACTTTTTTAACAATTTTGATGGTACCACTCTGGGTGCAAATTTTATCAAGGGTTTGAACTGTATTAAAGATCATTGCAAAGGTTTTATCCCAATTTAGTGCCAAATTGAGTGAAGTAAATAGATCAGCAATTTTATCAATTATTTTTTCAGCAGCTTCCCTTGCTTGGTCAAGGGTAGGTGCTTTAATGATGATGTTAGTATCATCTACATGCAATACAGATTTTCCCCCTAGTTGTCTGATAGTCTCTTCAATGCTATTAACATATATTAGAAACATAAAAGGACCAATTACGGTTCCTTGTGGCACGTTAAACTTAACTGTTTTCATATTAGATCTTATTTTGTTAATAGTACCTTCGCTATTGAGGTGTTGTATTTCAACACATTGAACTCTTTCTTGTAAAAAACTTTTCATAAGTTATGGGCGTTACCCCTTAGTCCACTCTTATACATTATATCGAGTAATATGTCGTGCTTGACACAGTCAAACGCCTTGCTAAGGTCTAAGAAAATAGCAATGACAATTTCTTTGTCACATTTAGCAGTAGCTATGGTGTCTACTGCATATGTAACTACATCTATTGTTGACTTCCCTTTTTTATACCCAAATTGAAAGTCACTTATTAGATTGTTATTTCTAAAAAAGGGTTCTACCCTATCAAGGAGGATTCTTTCGAATACCTTCGAGAATGAGGACGTTATGGTTCAGATTGTAATGCGAAGAAATTGCTCGCAAACTATGAAGTATTTTCTTTGTAAGCCAATTCATACTACACTCATGGCCTAAATTAATTTGTAACGTTTCCTGAGCACTCAAACGAACAGTGCGAAATTCACATCTTGACGAACATGAAGTCACAAGTCACATTCGTCGCGAACACACTGTAAATCCAAAGGTGATACTTTTAATACTTTTTCTGGCGATACAATTGAGCATCGCCAAAAAGTGAGCTTAAGTACACTGCTAGAAATTTTTGTTGATTTACGAAACATTTCGTTAAGTATTGTTTAAAAAAGCTATCTTGAAATTTAGAGATTATTCCGTACTTTGACATTATAAATCTTGTATTAGCCACAAAACGATATTTGTGATATTTTTAGCAAACATTTTGTAGACAAATGAAAGAGTTGTGAAATTGACAAAATACGCCGGAGAAATTGCCAAAGCCAGCTGGTCATCGAGCTTCAAATGCCCCTGCATGTTACTTACAATTATCACAAGTATAACGGAATGTTTTGTAGATTTACAAAAGTATCTTGTAAATTGATGTTTACGATGAATTTTTGGACTTTAAGGCATATTTTATCAACTACGTTTTATAAAGCTCTCGTTTGTAAAAATTTCCAGTAAAATCTTCGTAAATTTACGAAAAAATTTCCAACAGTGTATCGCCTTTGCATTTGCAGTGCAGTGGTCTTACGGCGGATTTTTCTGCATCCCAGGTGCGTAAGCTGCTGCGCCTGCACTGCTACAGTCACCTCGGGTGGAGCCTGCAGATCCTGCAGGCAGTGGCGCCGCACTTGGAGGAGCTGGACGCGATGGAGGCGGAGCGAGAGCATCTGGAGGTGGTTCGCAACATGCCGTCGCTGCGGAAGCTCCGACTGCGGACCAGCGACCTGTGGGAGGAGGCGCCGCCGCTGCCACCTCAACTGGAGGACCTGGACGTCTACCGCGGCAGCCTGGACCACACCCTATCCATTCGGCGCATGCCCCGCCTCCGCAGGTACACAGCAAATTCGCGTCAAAATATGGCGAGACATTGAAGTCTCGCCAAGTTTTGGTCCGACCTGAAAGTCTCGCCAAAATTTGGTCAGTCAAAAAAGTCTTGCCACAAAATGGTCAGACAAAAAAGTTTCGCCATTTTGTGGTGCACACTAAATTCTTATGGACTTTTTTATGCATAGTTATGCATGCAGAGATACGTTCATATGTTATGTTTAATATTATGCATCACTGAGTACATTTTATGCAGGAAGACGCTTAAAATGTGCACAGTGATGCATAATATTATACATACCCTATGGACGTTTCTGCGCATGCATAACTATGCATAAAAAATGCGTCCTTATGCATTTAAAAAGTCCATAAGAATTTAGTGTGTGAGACTTTCGTGTCTGACCATGGCCTTTAAGCCGTAACCGTCCGGCGCATTACGGCTATGTCTTGCCATTTTGTGGTGAGATTTTTGTGTCTGACCGTTCTGTGGCGAGACTTTCAGGTCTGACCAAAACTTGGCGAGATTTTCATGTCTCTGGCCTCTGGAGTGGCGAGAAGTCTGACCTTGGGATTTGTAGTGTAGGAAGGTTCGGCCTAGAATCTTCTCATCACTCTTTAATACCTATATGAAGCATTTGCTTCATACTACGTAGAAAACGAAAGCTTTGTAGAATTGCTTCGTATTATGAAGAAACGCTCCCTATTCAGAAGGATTTTTCTTCTTAATACGAAGCATTTCTTCGAAGCATTTTTCTTCTTAATACGAAGCATTTCTTCAAAGCATTTTCTTTGTAATCCGAAGCAATTCTTCGCACTCTCAGCACGTTACTGACTTTTTGCTCATTTTTCAGTACTTATGCAAGTAATTTGTGCAACCATAATACGTACTTTTCAGTGTTTGAAGAACTAATAAGAAAATTTTAAATAATGTACTGACAATTTGGTTTTGCACATAATTTTACAAACGAAGTAAGTCATACTTACTTAGAAAATACTTGGTAATATTGCTGCTTATACGAATACGTAGTTAATGAGGAAATAGTCAGTAACGTGCCGGGAGTGCGTGGAGTTTTTACTGTGGTGGTTCTTAGCGAATGAATGACCGATCCTACGGACGCCCGGAGTCTAGATTCACTGTAAAAATTAAACCGGGAATTAACAATGGCAGCTCTGGCAGAAATGTCGGTAGAGGTTCCTTTGTGAAGTTCTTGGATTGAAAATATTTGTAAATTTCCGAGAACACTCTTTAAAGCCTACGAAGCATTTGCTTCTCATAACTATGAAGAAAATGAAGGATTTTGCTTCATAGTACGAAGCATTTCTTTGTGGATTTTACATCGCCTTCATCTTTTTCGTATTACGAAGCGATTCTTTGTTGAGTTTTTATTGTGAATCTTTGTCGATTCTGCGTGAACTTACGAAGGTGCCTTCAGCAACATTCTTGCCAGAGGCACCTTCGTAAATTTCGTACATTCTTGCTACAGTCTGCATTCTTGATTGTCGCACCAGGTTGACCGTGAGTTACTGCCGCATGAAGTCCTTCCCGCCGTTGCCACCTCATCATCGCGGCCTGGAGTACCTCAACATCCGCGGCAGGGGGTGCAGCGAAGACAAAGACAGCATCCCAGTCAACAAAACATAGTCCCGGTCCGGGACGGACCATGTTCGGACTATCCCTGTAGTGGTCCCTGCATGGTCCCCTGGGGATGTCCCTCATGTACCTCCCAGGGACGTCCGCTCGGACCACCCGGCCGGTGCAACCGACGGGTCCAGCCGACAGCAGACGTCCTCCATAGGTCCGGCGGACGTTCCATCGGGACCCGTGAAAGGTTGCGAAGGGCTAGATCCGGCCGACGTCCCTGGGTCGTCCCAAGGACGTCCTTTTGGGACATGGCCCCGCGTTGCTTGGGCAAAACGCCGATGTACCAGTGGTCCGAGGCCTGTCCCGCCGGGCTAATCCCGGCGGATATCCTTTGCGGACGTCCCACACTCTAAATGTCTTACGAAGAAATTTCCCATAATACGAAGGAAATGGCGCAAGCATAATACGAAGGTGGTTTTTCTTCGTATTACGAAGGTTTCTCTGTGTATATTACAATGAAAAAGGTAAAAAGATTTGTATTACGAAGGAATATTGCTTCGTATTATGCTTGCGCCGAATTCACTGTAACATACGAATAACATAGGTCAAATTTCATTGTAAGACATTTAGAGTGCAGGGACGTCCTATTGGGAGATGGCCCCTGGCGCATAGGCAACACGCCCGACTGCCAGTGGTCCCAAGCTGGTCCTAGCGGGCTAGTCCCGGAGGATGTTCCTTGAGGACGTCCCAGGTACATACTGTTCGGACATGGCCCTTCGATGAGATGACAACACTCTGAAGGAAAAGTCCAAAGTCATGTCTCAATGTGTGAAACGAGACCCATGCATATGGTCCCGGGCATGGTCCGCGCGGGACCTCCCTGGGACCTCCCCAGGACGTCCGACGGGGACATCGCTACGGTGGACGCGACGTATCATGTAGTCGAGACACTACACGTCATGTTGCATGTGAGCGGCATGGCACAGTGGATAAGTGCGCTGCTTCACAACCTGAAGGTCGGAGGTTCGACTCTTCTCAAGTGCAACGAGTTTTCATCGTCCGAAGGGAAAGGTGAAGGGTAAGGACGGTCGGGAGTGGCAAATTGAGGTCAAGCTAACACACTTGCGTTCAAATTTTTAACCAAAATTTTTAACGCTGAACATGGGACGTCCCTCGGTGGTCCGAGGGACGTCCGCCGGGATAGTCCCTGCGGACGTCTGCGGCGGACGTCCGCGGAACGTCCACCCGGGACGTCCGGGTCGGACGTCCCTCGGACCTCCAGGGGACGCGTTTTCTTTGCCATCCGGAGGTCCCCTCGGACGTCCGACCGGGAGGTCCGGGTAGTCCCGGCCGGACGTCCCTCGGACGTCCACGGGACTATGTTTTGTTGACTGGGATCATCATGTCCTTGATCCGTGCCCACGGCGCCACCCTGCAAGAGCTGCACATCTCGACCACCAGCCAGAAGCTGACCAAACCGTTGGCGACGGGCGACTTCTTCGAGGACCTGGGCCCCAAGCTGGGGCAGTGCGGCCTGCGTTCTCTGAAGTTCCTTGTTCTGTCGAGAGACCCCCCTTGAGGTTCCGTGACGAGGGCGAACCCAAGGGGCACAGCGTTCCGTCCTGCAAGCAGCAAGTGAAGGAGATCACCGAGGCCCTCAAGGGGAGCAGCCCGATCCTGAAGACAATAATTATTTGTAGCATCTGCGACAAGCACTGGCTCAAGTAAAATTTCACTTGGAGATTAAGTGAGGTACCTGACCCTCGGTTGTACTTTGTCACCTAAGTCAGTTTTGTTTCTTTCCAATCTAGAATTCAAATATTGTATAGCAAGAATTATCTCACGTCTGTCCAGTATCTCATTTGTACCGGATTTAAGATCACTGCACTCGTTGCCTGTGAGAAGTTGACTGTCTTGGAATTCTATAAATTGATGCCAAATTGTACTGTTATCAAGTTCTGTGCAGTTTATAAGGAAAGTTCTGTGCTAACATAATTTAGCTGCTTCAAACTGTGTGTGAGCACTGTTACTAAGCGGTAAAAAGTTTCTTTGCAGTATGAATTTTTTTTTCTGGCTCCGTAAATGGATAAAAATGGAAGAATCTGTAAGTTATTTCAGTTCGTTTGTGCAATTGCATTTTTTCATACTGGAATGTTCTTGTATTCAGAGTAAATAAAAGAACTGATTGTAATGCAACGCTGTCAGTGTTGGATTCCTCCTACGCATACAATCAAAAGACGGAACTCCATTAAGCGGCTCCGGAGGGTTTTTCTGAACAGAGCCCTGGATTGTTCTCTTCATGTCCTTCTGAGCTAATTTATTTAATACGTGCAACGCCTTCCCATGACCCCCTCCGATTCTGACCAAAATTTTTTTCTGAGATGGCCATATGGTAAGAAAAAACATCCTAAAATATTAGGTCGCTAAAAAATTTATTGGCCGAGAAAACCAATGTTTTCTAAATTTGCCACTTTTTTTACTAAATTTGGGAGTTTCTTTACTACTCTGAGGTTTTTGGTGCTACGTGGCTAAAAATCAGTATTGTTATGTAAAATTGCCCAAGGAACAAGAATATGGTCACAGATTTGATCTACGACCGATATCTTGAGAAATACTTACCCAAAACGACCAAATTTTACTGAAAATACCCAAATTTTGGGGAAACGGTCAAAAATATTTTTTATCCACGATCCGTTGACGCCATCTTGTAGAAAAAGAGCTAATGAAGCTAACGAGCACACGCCCAGGTTCGTAGCTCAAACCGTTTAGAAGCTGTAAGGCGTCAAAGTTGGAGGTTTTTTGAGGGGGCCTGAAAACCGGCACTTTTGACCTCTGCGCTCAATGTCCGACACCCGAGCCGTACCAGCCATGATCCTTGCTTTCGAGGTGAGGTCTGCGTGCGCAATGGGAGTCAAGAAGAGGGTGAAGCGGCACAGCGTTTCTGAACAGGGTCCTCTTTAGAGCGCCTGAACAGCCGAGGGTTGGTATGCTCACCCAACGGCGCTTGGAAAGCACTTGCTGCACCGTGGGCTCGCTCAAGGCCACGAACAATGCTATTCGGTGTAAGTCTAAAACTGTCGCCCTCGACAAGCTTCGGATTCTGTTGGCTGCCCCTTCCTTCTCTCTCTTTCCCACATGGTCCAAAGCCGTTGCCCCCGACCCCTCAACCTACCCCCAATACCGGATATATTGTGTGTTGTTTCAGATGAATTTCAAGCTTTTTGTCGGAAGCTGTCGCCCTTTGGTATACTTTGGAAGTTCTTCGGAATCTGTCAGTGTTTCCCCGGCGGTTTTCTCGCTTTCCCAACCCTGAGGGGTCGAGGGCGAGGGGTTTGAAAAGTTGGGAAAGGGTGGAAAATGGCAAGGGGCAGCCGACGACTTGCGATTCTCTCCCGAACCTTCCTGAGGGCGACAGCTTGAGCATGGTGAAAACGGAACCTGGTTTTCCCAGGAAGCCTTTGGTAGAGACACAGGCCACTTCCAGGGAGTTCCTGGGAAAACCAGGTTCCGTTTTTACCGTGAGACCATAACCGATCAAAAGCTTGAAATTCGTCTCAAACAGCACACAAGTTATCCAGTGTTTGGGAGGTTAAGGGGTCGAGGGCGGTGGTTCGGCAATGTGGGAAAGGAAGAAGAAGAAGAAGAGTGAGGAGGGGGGTGGAGATTGCGGCCGACAGAATCCAAAGCTGTTAGAAGGCGTTAGCTCGCTGTCTGAAGGTTGAAACAGGTTTCCCGTTTTCGATTTCCCTAAATTTGGCCTTCTTAATAGGGTGAAACTTTCTATTTTCTCTGACCTTTTTCTCTAGTTTTATTCGCAAGGTTCAATACTTTAAGGAGGTATAAATAGGTATTAAATACGATATTATTGATTTCCGGAGCGAAACGCATGAGCTAAGCAAGCACCCCTACTTCGCATTACTTACACCTCATGCAAGCTTTTAAAATTTTCCCAATCCTGGTTGCGATTTTCCCTTACCTAATTACGGTTTTCCCTGACCTCCAACGCCTCTTTAAATTTCCCTTACTTTACTATGACTACCCTTATTTCTCTGACCAGTGTGAACGTGTGAACCTTGCGTTGCCCTCGAGCTGTCGACCGCACTCTCAGACTGTTATTGACTTGTCTGTAGTTAAAGAGCATTTTACACAGCAATAAAAAGTACTTATTATATATGTAAGATTTTGTTCGTTATATTGACCTAGGGTCAGGGCGGGGAAGAACTGGACAGGGGAAGAACTGGAAACCCCATATTTTACTTCAAATACCGTAGGCACAGGAATAACCACTATCAAAAGTTGTTCCGTGGCATCAGCGGTTCATTACACGACAGTTGTCAGGTCAGTACACGGCAATTGAAGTAAAATGTGGGGTGTCCAGTTCTTCCCCTGTCCAGTTTTTCCCCGCCCTGATCCTAAGCAGATGATTTTCAAGCTTCTGTTCGGTTATGGTCTCAAGCTGTCGCCCTCAGGAAGGTTCGGGAGAGAATCGCAAGTCGTCGGCTGCCCCTTGCTGTTTTCCACCCTTTCCCAACTTTTCAAACCCCTCGCCCCCGATCCCTCAGGGTTGGGAAAGCGAGAAAACCGCCGGGGAAACACTGACAGATTCCGAAGAACTTCCTAAGCTTACCAAAGGGCGACATCTTCCGACAAAAAGCTTGAAATTCATCTGAAACAACACACAATATATCCGGTATTGGGGGTAGGTTTAGGGGTCGGGGGCAACGGCTTTGGACCATGTGGGAAAGAGAGAGAAGGAAGGGGCAGCCAACAGAATCCGAAGCTTGTCGAGGGCGACAGTTTGAGACTTACACTGAATGGCATTCTCCGTGGCCTCGAGCGAGCCCACGGTGCAGCAAGTGCTTCCCAAGCGCCGCTGGGTGAGCATACCAACCCTCGGATGTTCAGGCGCTCTAAAGAGGACCCTGTTCAGAAACGCTGTGCCGCTTCACCCTCTTCTTGACTCCCATTGCGCACGCAGACCTCACCTCGAAAGCAAGGATCATGGCTGGTACGGCTCGGGTGCCGGACATTGAGCGCAGAGGTCAAAAGTGCCGGTTTTCAGGCCCCCTCAAAAAACCTCCAACTTTGACGCCTTACAGCTTCTAAACGGTTTGAGCTACGAACCTGGGCGTGTGCTCATTAGCTTCATTAGCTCTTTTTCTACAAGATGGCGTCAACGGATCGTGGATAAAAAATATTTTTGACCGTTTCCCCAAAATTTGGGTATTTTCAGTAAAATTTGGTCGTTTTGGGTAAGTATTTCTCAAGATATCGGTCGTAGATCAAATCTGTGATCATATTCTTGTTCCTTGGGCAATTTTACATAAGAATGCTGATTTTCAGCCACGTAGCACCAAAAACCTCGGAGTAGTAAAGAAACTCCCAAATTTAGTAAAAAAAGTGGCAAATTTAGAAAACATTGGTTTTCTCGGCCAATAAATTTTTTAGCGAGCTAATATTTTAGGATGTTTTTTCTTACCATAAGGGCATCTCAGAAAAAAATTTTGGTCAGAATCGGAGGGGGTCATGGGAAGGCGTTGCACGTATTAAATAAATTAGCTCACTATGTAAGGTGGCTAAGTTTGAGCAGTGTCCAACGACCAGAAACGCGGAGTCTCTGTTAACTAGCAAATCCGGACGAACCCGTATGACTCTCAGCACGTTAATGACTTTTCCTTTGTCAATAATTACGTAGTTATTTCAGCAAGGATGACATTAGTATTTTCTGAGTAAGTTTTACTAGTATCCTTTCTAACATTACACTGCAAATCCAAGTGTGGGATGGATTCTAGATAACGGGGAACGAACTGTCAAGCGCTTGGAAGCGTAGGACAAAGTGTCCCGTCCCACGTTTGAAGGCGTGGGACAAACCGCGTCCCACCTGGGAGAAACTGTGCATGCCTGTCCTACACGTTGGTTTGCAAGTGTATTAATGAGAATAAACCTGAACGAAAAAGTTAACTGCTTAACACTTCCTAATCAGTCCTTTATCAAACGATAGGTACGTATAATGTTTGCCCAAAATACTTCTATGAGTACAGACGTTAAAAATCAGTAACGTGCTGAGAGTGTGGCATGTCCGTCAAGCATAGCAAAAATTTGTTGTCACTTCATACCATAATCGTGGTTGACATTTTCATCAAAGCGCCTTTAGTTAATGCATGGACATGACAACTAAGTCATCAAATGTTTTGATGACACCCTTGAAAGGAACATTAGCCTTTAAATTGTCAACAGGTGACAACCAAGCTTTTCACTGTGCGGCTGCTCCTAAACCAGTCAGACTGCACACTTCATGTTATGTACACTTTTGTACGAAGCATCACAGTTTTTGGTGCACACGAACTTTTTGTACAAATTTTGTACGAAAAACTGCACATACATTCCCATTTTAGTGCAAATTCACGTACAAATTTGTGCTAAAATTTCGTGTGCACTGAAAGCAGTGATGTCTCGTTCAAGAATTTTACAAAAACATTTAGTGTGTACCGGTTATACAGTTTCAGTTCCTTGCGACGAACCTGCTGACGTGTTCACGACTTCCCCCTCTTTTCGGCCATGCAGTGCATGCAGGATTAAGTAACAAATGACGAAAGTAAGAACAAGTTAGCTTTATTGAAAAACTAAAAATTAAACGAGTTACTGTTTTAAAAAACGTTTCTCAGACAGACACGTTACAGTTATACTATTTCTTGGAACAATGTTGACAAAATATCAAAGAGAAGATGTAGTTGTCATAATAATTGTTTAAAACTCCAAGGTCAAAGCTACATAAACAACATTAGAATATGACAAATCTAGACACTCATATTGTTTAGAAAGAAACGCTGTCCTTTTTTTAAAATGAAAACATGCCAATGCCCAAACTACCATGATGAAGAGAGAAGCTAAGTTAGCACGAGTCTTTTCATCAGGGAACTCATCTCAAACGCCACTCCACTCTTTGATAACTTCTTCTGCAGCGACTCGAGGGTCTCCGTGGCGAGGTCTACCTTCCCCTGCTTGAACAGCACCTCAGCTTCCCCGCACTGCTCCCGTAAGGCCTTCTCCTCCGCCTCCCGGACGCGCAGCTCCCTTTCAAGACGCTTCTTCGTATTGAGGCGGGCGGCCTTCTTCGCCAGCGCCTCGAGGCGTTCCTCTGGAGTGAGCTCCTCGTTGGCAGCATCACCGGTTAGTGCAGCCAGTTCCATCTTGACAGTGTCCAGCTCAGCGGCAACCGTCTCGGTGAACCGCTCGGCCTCGGCGAGGGCGGCGGCCAGGCGGCACAGGGCGCAGCCTTCCTTGGCTTCCCGGACGTCGGCGGCACTGAGCGCGGAGAACCTCAGGCCGTGCGGGCACACCAGAGGCAGCGCCGGCCCAACGCGGCGCGCCTTGGCCAGCACCTCACTCACGTGCCGCCACGAGGCGGACCCGGACGCCGCCAGGCACGTCAAGTTTCCCAGCATGAAGAAGCCTGTTGAGGATCAAGAGAATCACTGTTCACTGAAAATCTATCGGCGTGACTTAGTGCCGCTGCAGGGGCGTGAATTAAGTGTCACGCCAATAAACGGCATGACAGAAAAGTCTCGCCAAAAATCGGCGTGACTCAAAAATTCACGCCAATTTTTGGTGTGAATTTCTTCTCATGCCGCTTTTTGGCATGACTTTTCTTATAAAACGCGTTGTCATTCACGCCAAATGAGGGCGTGACTCACACGTCACGCCGTTTTTCGGCATGAATTTCGTGTCATGCCAATTTTTGGCGTGACTTTTTGTCACGCCATAATTTGCCCCTGTGTCCGACCAATATGTTTTCAGTGTTATTCCACTTGCGATACAGACCGCAATTTCGGAGCAATACAAATTTCATCGCACTTTTCTGTAATGATCATTGCAACAAGCTAGGGCCCGCCCTTCCGTCGAACCGAGTTGCCAGCTGGGTGATTCCGTACGTAGGGGCCGTTTTAGCCACCTTAGAAGTCACATAATCAATCTTGCTTGTTCGGCCTGAATATTGCCTAGATGGCGTCAATAGGACACCAGGAAGACACTCTGAGCATGGGCGAGCTAAAAATTGATTTTCGTTTTCTCCCCCTATAAAATATGACGAAATATACTGCAAATATGACGGAAATTACGCTAAACGGAAATTACAAATAGATGTTTCTGGCTCACTGCAAATGCCCATCGCCTCAGAAATATGCCATAAGTTTGGCACACTAGTCCGACGTCAAGACACGTCTTTTCACGTGTAGGATGACTTTCTAAACCCAATAGGAGAGGGGCGAGAGGGGCATACGGAAATTACATCAATTGTTACAACCCACCGTTTTCACACACAACTTCCACTCGCACACTCAGCCCCCTTACTTTTTCGCCACCGGAATTCGTTCATAGGGTAAACAGACCGTGCTGATTCCAAATACGGCGGTGGTTTTGAGCAGGGAGCACTCCTAGTAGTTTAGATGATGGTTACTTTGAAACTACACTGTGGAAAAAAGGGACATTTTCTCCGTTAATTTATGGCCAGAACTTTCCGTGATTTCAGACAGGATTTTCCGTGATTTCAGACACAGGATTTTCCGTGATTTCAGATCCAGGCTTTTTCCGTTGTTTGAAACCCAGAGATTTCCGTATAGTTTGCACAGTGCGTTGAAAGGCCATGGCAGTAAAGGGCAGACTTTGTGAGGGAAGTTTCTAAACTTGGCCAAAGAAACAATTACCTACAGAAATGGATGCATTCGTCTTGTGAAAGTTAACAAAAAAAATTTCATCCCACATCCTAAACACACGTTCGAAATGATGGGTTTGAGCTTCAAACATATCAAAGTTCCGTATCGCTATGAGATACGATGATTTTTGGCACTATTGACATAAAAAGGTGAAAAATCAAATATGTGGAAATGGAAAACTGACGACGGGAATGGATTCGTCTCGACGAAATGAAAAGAAACATACCAATATGTCATAGGTTTAGACTCGAAATGGCCGATCTACAGAATCCAATAGGTCGATTTTGACACCCCTTTTTCAAAGGCGTTGCAAATACGTGCTAAAATTGACCTATTGGATTCTGTAGATCGGCCATTTCGAGTCTAAACCTATGACATATTGGTATGTTTCTTTTCATTTCGTTGAGACGAATCCATTCCCGTCGTCAGTTTTCCATTTCCACATATTTGATTTTTCACCTTTTTATGTCAATAGTGCCAAAAATTATCGTATCTCATAGCGATACGGAACTTTGATATGTTTGAAGCTCAAACCCATCATTTCGAACGTGTGTTTAGGATGTGGGATGAAATTTTTTTTGTTAACTTTCACAAGACGAATGCATCCATTTCTGTAGGTAATTGTTTCTTTGGCCAAGTTTAGAAACTTCCCTCACAAAGTCTGCCCTTTACTGCCATGGCCTTTCAACGCACTGTGCAAACTATACGGAAATCTCTGGGTTTCAAACAACGGAAAAAGCCTGGATCTGAAATAACGGAAAATCCTGGGTCTCAAATCACGGAAAGTTCTGGCCATAAATTAACGGAGAAAATGTCCCTTTTTTTCCACAGTGATACTGAGACAAAAGTCGGAGTACGGTGGACATTTTTTACGCGTTCTGAAAGGACACTTCCAATCAAAATACGATCTTAAAATTCAAGCAAGATAGTCACTATACGTTAGAGATTTGATGGGTGTGTGTGGAATTCGAAGATTACAATGGAACAAATGGTCACAGAGCCGCAAAGTTGGTGAAAGGTGCGAATGGACATGACGGAACTTACAAAATCGACCCTTTTGGCCCCCCTCCGGCGTCACATGTTAGCTTTGTAAGTCCATATACAAAGGGAACAAGCTAGTCTGGTGCCAAACAAGATTTTTAAGTGCATAAATGGACTGCACTCGAATAAGTTTGCCCTGGGGAGGGTGTGGACACGAAAATGCCCTCTACGCGCGGAATCACCCAGCTCCGCTTCGCTGCGCCGGCAACTCGGTTCGACAGGGGGCCGGCCCAGCTTGGCCTGCCGGCGGCCTTTCCTCGGACCTTCGGCCCTCGCATCAGACCCAACTTGGCCAGTCGAAGGCCCGGGCCTTCGGCCCGCTCGCATCACACACACCGTGAGCGGGTAAAGCAAAGTTATCGATGTACCATCGTGACTTAGGCCCGCCCTTTTATTCACAATATGCAAAAGTCCTTACTCTTTTTACTCCAACTGTCCTTAGAATATGCCCATTTCATTTGTCTCTTCGCCCTCATTCCGAAAATACCCATAATTGCCATGCTACTGCAACTCCTTGCAATTGAGGCCCAGCAGGAGCGCAAAACGAGTCCGTCGCACTTTTTCCCATAACTCATGAAGGTGGGCTCCTGGACCCCCCTTCCGACCCCTCGTTGAAGAGGTCTCGCCAAGACCTATCGAAAACTTAAGTCAAAATTTTAAGTCGGTCGACCCCCTTTTTTCAAGATCCTGATGTGACTAATAGACGAAGTCGGGATCCTAGACCCCCTTTCCGACCCCTCGTTGAAAAGGTCTTGCTGAGACCAATCGAAATCTGCAATAATTTTTTTTAGTCGGTCGACCCCCTTTTTTGAAGATCCTGATCTGGCCAACTTGTAAAAGCGGCCGATGGGATCGGGACCAAGTCCATTCATCTAGTCTCGTCGCTCCGATTCGAAAAATACCCCTATGTGCCCTGCTAGCACCAATAATGACGGAAATCCCCCTCCCGCTCATGTAAACCATGATGCACCTGCAGCAGCCCTTGTGCGACCCGGACGGGATTTGCACAACCGGATTATTTGTTGGGACGGTACTCCTGAAGTACCCTCCAAATCTGGTTACTCTAGCTCAACTCCTTCCTTGTACGCAGACGCCAACAACAACAACAACAACACACAGACACAAAGGCAAATGCATATGCCCTCCCCCTATTTTTGGCTGAGCGATAGCGAAGCCTGTTACTCCAGTGCGGTTGAAAAGTTTTGTCTGTCTGTTTGTCTGTCTGTTTGTCTGTCTGGGCGTCTGCGTGTGTGTGTGCACTACTCCTCCTGAAGGGCTCGGCCGATCTGGCTGAGATTTTGCAGGCTTATTAGGTATGTCCTTGGCTCGGCACACGCGAAATTTCACTATCCTAGCTCACGTGGTTCAGTTTTTATAGCCAAAAAACACCTGAAAAACGGCGAAAAATCGAGGTTTCTGCAGGCAGATCACAGACAAGTTAAAAAGTTACAAGGGTTTAGATCGTGTTATCTGTAGATGAAGCAACTCCATCTAGAATAAAGGGGGTTCTGGGGGGCGGAGCCTTCGAGCATGCAACAAGTAAGAAGTAACGGACGATGGACAAGCCAATGCCTGCCGAAGGCAGCCTAATCGCCGTAGGCCAAAAGGTAGGTACGCCAGGCGTGAATTGGCGGAGGAACAGGCTGCGAGACATCGCGAAGCCTGTTACGACAAGACGCGGTCTGGCGTAAACCTACCTTGTTATAATAGAAGGGCGGGCCAAAAAGGTGTGATGAGCTACAGTATCGCATAATTTTGCAATGATCATTGCAAAAAACTGTAATGATTGCATATTTTGTGTTGTCATCATCGCAGTTTTTTGCAATAATTCCGATTTTTATTGCAGAAAGTTGCGATGATCATTGCAGAATTTTGTTCGGTACAGAAGTCGTTGCATCTCAAGAGCAATGATTCGTGGGAATCGCTTTTTGGATATCATCGCACGTTTTTCTGTTGAAAGTATCGCAACTTAACAGTGATACAACTCAGTACATTGCTTGGAATCTTGGAATCTGTACACTGAGAATCCCTTGAATATAGAATGGCGTCGATTGGTGCAATGTTATGGCATTGCGCATGATGTGCAATGCCTTCCCATTCCCGTGCATTAGCAGAGGGCATTTTCGGGACGCATTTCACGTATGGTGCAATATGTCTATGACATTGTAAGTATGGAGCGATATCTAAGAGCATTGCACCATTCGTGCTATGTTAGCGTTTGGGATCACAGTACATTTCTATAGGGATGTCGCAAGGACTACACTCAGAATCCAACTGCTATGAATACACAGCAAATCCAAGTGTGGGACACGGATTTGTCCCAGGCTTAGAAACGTGGGGCACGGTTTGTCTCTCGCTTGCAAGTGTGGGACACGGCTTTGTCCCACGCTTGCAAATGTCGGGATGCATTGCACGCATTGTGCAGTATGGCTATGGCATTGCACGTATGGTGCGATATCTCCGAGGGGGACACAGTTTCCCACATTCATTGTACAAAATTTGACCACATTCCACATTCAGGTGGCAAAAACGCCTATAAGTAGGCAACATGTGTGGCAAAAATGCCAGAAATCTTGCACATTCTTTCACATTCACACAGTCACTGTACACAAGATTTTACAGTGGGCTACCACTCGGATATCTCAGCCAGTGCATTGCACCATACGTAGCGTTTGGAATCTCAGTGTAGGAGTTCATGACTCCCACACGACGCAGCACACTCAATCTCGGACGGTGATTTACTGTACAAAAAATGTCCTGTCAATGCCGTTAATTAATTACCAATGTTTGCTGTTATGCAATTCGCCGCATTTGCTGTGAACTACAGATAGTTCACGGCGTTCACTGTGATCTGGCCCTGGCCACAGTAAACGCTGTGAATTGGAGCCTAATTTGCAGTACTTCGGTGCTCAGCGTCGTCAAACTCACAGTGTTTACTGTGGACCAGATCACAGTGAACACCGCGAACAAGATCACAGCGAATCCCGTGAGCAGATCACAATAAACGCTGTGAATTGGCCTACAGTGAAAACTGGTAATAAATTAACGGCATTGACAGGACATTTTTTTTTACCGTGTACGCATACGCACTTGATTATCTTTTGGACGGTACATTTGTGTATCGCCAACAAAGGGCCGTACAGAAAATTTTACCTCTAACGTTACAAATCTAAAAGCGATACTTGAGTATCTTTGTGGTGATAAAATTAGGTGTCGCCGGCTTTGCCGAAAAATCCTGTCTTCAAAACGGCAATACTCAAAAGTGTCGCCAAAATCTGACAATAAACAATGAAGTTGTCCCCGGAGTTTGTTCACAGTGTATTGTCAAATCTCGGCGATACTCCGAAGTATCGCCGAATTTGGCGGTACATTTGTTTACCGCCTTTTTTAAGGCAATATTTTCTATGCGGCTCTTTCCTGGCGATACTCAATTGTATCGCCAGAAAAGGCACTAAAGGTATTACCCTTGGATTTTGGAGTGTGAAAGAGGGGCACTAAAGGTATTAATTACCCTTGGATTTTGGAGTGTGAAAGCGGAAGACTAAAAATTTTGATTGCCTTACCAGTTCTGGCTCTGCTTAACGCGACGCACGCTCTGTTCTCTTTCTCCAAAAAGCCGATACAACCCGACGAATTACTTCTCACTAAAGACAAGATGATGATCTCGTTTTCTTCGCCTTGGAAGTTGTCTACACATGTAGCTCGGATGGTCTTAGCATCACCTCCAATGTGGCGCAACTGCAATTTAAAAAAAAGTTAAATACAAAGAATTTTAAACCTAAGTGCCAGATGAGATCACTGGTAAATCTGAAGCGTAACTCTATGCTTGAGTCAAGCATAAAGTTACGCTTGAAGACGTTACGCTTGAAATCAAGCAAAGACTAGAAATTCACCCATGCATTTAGATAGGGGGAATCTTGGCGGATAGGCCTGTTACGCTTGATTTCAAGCGTAAACTGATTACGATTGAAAACAGTGGGTAATACTACGCTTTAGTTTAAGGGGGGACCCTGGTGAAACTTTCAAGTAGGCTTTGAAATAATCCCAGAAAGTTGAAACTTTGCTTAATTATTAGGTTCATTATGGTGAGTTCCCAAAACAAAATTCAATCAAAAATGTTGAACGGTCTCTGAGAAAAGTGGCTTTTTAGTGTTTTTTAGAGCGTTGGGGAAAAATCTTCCTGCGTCTTTCATTGGAACGGAAAGTCTTGAAAAATTTTTTGGGTTATCCTAAAGATGTATAGAAGAGATTTTAGTGACGGAATTTTCAATTTCAACTTCTGTCCTAAGATATGAATTTTCAAGTTTTAACATTAAAAAAAAGTGAATATTTTGCTTTGTTTTCAAACTTTTAGGTGTTTGTAAAAAAAGTAGGGCTGATATCAAGATTCCGTCACTAAAATTTGTCGACAAGTCATCAATGAATAGAGTCCATGCAAGACGACTCATGTAGGTGTCAACCAGGAACGCAGGAAGTCTTTCTACGACCATATTTTTTGTCAACTGAGCAAAGCTGTGAAGTTGAGCGTATAAGCCAACAACAACTGATCTCAATGTTATTTCTTTCCAAATGATGAAGGAACTACCCACATAGTTTAAAGGTGTTCAACCTGTTGAATCTGAAGTCTTCTATGCACATTTTTATCTATGAACCTCGAAAATACTACTTTTGGCAGTTTTGGCCATTTTTTCACCAGGGTCCCCCCTTAACCAGTGATTTAGACTATAAATTCCACTAAACCTGAATTTTTGTCATCTCTGAAGTACTTTTTGATTTCTATATGATCTACTGACAGTTTTATGCTAGAAACGATCAAAATTGGGCATTTTTAAAGAGAAAATTGTACATTTTACGTCTGCCCAAAACATCTAGGAAAGAGAAAAATAGTCCATATGTGACTGAGAGTGTACTAAAAAACCAATTTGATTACCCACTCCGGATACTTTAAGGGCTTAGGCAGACCTCTAAATCAACATTACTGATAAAACAGAAGCGTGAGGTAACTTTATGCTTCACTTCAAGATGTTACGCTTGAAATAAAGCATACACTGAAAATTCCCTCAAGTTTAGTTAAGAGGAGTCTTGGCGAAAGAAACTGTTACTCTAGATTTCAAGAATAAAATGGTAATGCCTAAAACAAAGGGTAACACTACAATTTGGTTTTATTAGTGATATTAGACTTGCAGCACAAAGTCAAAAGTATTTCGAATTCTAATGTCCACTTTACTGTGTTTGACTCAAGATAAATATCGGTAAAGCAAGGGCAAGGTGAAGCAGGATAAAGAATTTTAAGATTTTCATTAAAGTCCCTTACTGCCGTGAGTTGCGCTTAAAGGGGGCTTTATTTGATGACACCGTTCCAGAGAGTAACGCTTATACGCTGAAAACGGTCGAAAGAAACAACAGTTGAAAATGGTCTGCGCTTGAAAACATACGCACGTGTTTTAGCACCAGGCCGAGCTGTTTTCTATACGTTGTCAAAATGGTGATCTTGTCTGCATCGTACCCTTGCTGGAGCAAGTAAGCTCCCAGTTCTGCAGCCATCTCTGCCTCTTGAGCGTGGCAGTAACCAGTACCTTCCTACAAAATCAGAAACAAAACAAGTAAGGCCAGGAATAGCAGTCACCAAGAAAGAGAAAGAAATTTAGGGTCGTGCTGCAAATTGAACCGGTTGGGAACTACAGCGTACTTAAAATGTTCCTTATCACCCCCTCAACATGATTTTTATATGTTTCGAGGATTGGTCTAAACAGTATTAACAGTCTAAACAGTAACGAGTATAAACATCCTCAATCAGGCGATTTACTGTTCGAGTTTATCATTTTAATCAATTTGGTACAAATTTTCACCCACACCTCACCTTAATCCTCGCCGAAATTTGGTCAGAGTTCTAACTCTTCAATTTTCAGTGCTCTTACGCTCATACATGTTCCACACAAAGAGAAAACGCGTCGGCCAGCCCTCGATCTCACTGCTTTATTTAAAGATCGCACTGAAAATCCAAGTGTGGGAGGCATGCACTAGATAACGTGGGACAAACTGTCCCACGCTTGTAAGCGTGGGACAAAATGTCCCACGTTTGTAAGCGTGGGACAAACCGTGTCCCACGTTTGTAAGCGTGGGACAAACCGTGTCCCACGTTTGTAACCGTGGGACAAACCGTGTCCCACGCTTGGAAGCGTGGGACACTTTGTCCCACGTTATCTAGTGCATGCCTGTCCCACACTTGGATTTTCAGTGCGTAAAGAAGGAAACAAGAAAACACGTACCCGCGTTTCCGGCTCTGCCTTGTTGATGAAGAACACCGGAGTCTTGAGATCAACTCCTTTAACGGGTGGCCTCCCTGCCGTCGAGGGGTGGTTGGTGAGGCTTGGGTAGATGTTCGCCACCAGCTTCTTAATGGAGGGTCGCATCCGCCGCTGCTCGTTCAACATGGGGCACTCCAGCCCGTTGTTGATGAGCCGCTCGAAGAGCGAGAGGTCCAAGTTGTGGCTGCCTGCCAGGGCGTGATGGCTGCAGCTCGGCTGGAGCTGCTTGTGATCTCCTTTGCGAGGAAATAAACAGAAACCGTCAACTGCCAGGTTTTATAAAACCAATAGGGCCTATTTTCAAAAAATATTAAGGATGATTTGTTTAGTATTAATTTTCTCTCCAATGACGGAGCGTATTTGACTATGATTCAATACTTGCAGCTCGGGCCATAAGCTGCATTATTTTTCTGAAACATTCACATTGAGATGGGTACCGGTTAAACCTGCATTGATTTCAGATTTTTGGAATCAGTACAAAAATTTACAGTTAAGCTAAAGTGCGATGAAATTTGTACACACTGAATGTCATGGGTATGCAATTTTAAGCACAAAAGTCCCATGACATTTAGTGTGTATTGCGCTGGAAGTGCGGTCTGTATCGCAAGCATGGAATAACGGGAGTTCTTCACTAACCCGAATCATCACTTGCCCGAATTGTCACTAACCCGAATCTTCACTAGGCCGAATTATCACTAGCCCGAACATCCCATAAGACAGTTTCACTAACCCGAATTGTCACTAACCCGAGTTATCACTAGCCCGAATTTCCTGAAGTAGTTCCGTCCTTTTGCAATATTCTGGTTGTGTCTCACTAGCCCGAATTATCACTAGGCCGAATTGTCACTAACCCGAAAGCCACGCCTGTGAAATAAATGTTTCACTAACCCGAATCTTCACTAACCCGAATTGTCACTAGCCCGAAACTCGCCACCGGGGTGGGGGACGTATCGGCTTCTGCTGGGTTAGATCTGCCGCGAATAGGGCTGGTCTGTCGCGGTTGGAGTAAGATCTGGCTCGGTTAGAGCAAGATCTGTCGCGGTTAGAGTAAGATCTGTCACGGTTAGAGAAAGATCTGTCGCGGTTAGAGTAAGATCTGTCGCGGTTAGAGTAAGATCTGTCACGGTTAGAGTAAGGTCTGTCACGGTTAGAGTAAGATCTGTCTTAGTTAGAGTACGATCTGTCGCGAGCCCGTTAGGTTAGGTTAGGTTGGACAATTTTGTTTCAGACACTCTTGGAGACAATAGCTGCGGCCGCCCTCTCCACCACATTTCGGGTTAGTGACAATTCGGGTTAGTGAGACAGGGAACGAAAAGGTCCACTTTCGGGCTAGTGACAATTCGGGTTAGTGAAAATTCGGGACAGTGAAACAATCCCCCTGCACGCATGTTTTCGGGCTAGTGATAATTCGGGTTAGTGACAATTCGGGTCAGTGAAACAAATTTCGTTTTTGACAAAATGATCGTGTTTTCGGGTTAGTGATAATTCGGCCTAGTGAAAATTCGGGTTAGTGACAATTCGGGCAAGTGATATAGACTCGGAATGAGTAACAGTGCTGTTGCCAAACTTCCACTTAAAGTTGTTTTTCGCCTTAGTGCTAATAACATAAAAAAATCATAACTTGGCCATTTTTTGACCGATTTTCAAAAATGAAATGGGGATTTATTTGTTTTTGAACGCTTATTACGAAACATATTATGCCGAACCATCTGTATGGTTTTCCTTATTTTCAGGAGCAAATAATGACTAAATTTCGGCTAAAATTATAATAACTTACTTTCGGCTAAAATTAGCAAGAATTTAAGATTGTGGGCCGTCGCAGAGCCAGTACAAGGCCGCCCTTTGAGCGTGGCGGGATGCTCGGGTGATTCCGTGCGTAGGGGCCGTTTTAGCCACCTAAGAAAGTCAAGTAATCAATCTTGCTTGTTCGGCCGGAATTTGGCCTAGATGGCATCAATTGAACCCCAGGAAGACACTATGAGCGTGGGCGAGCTAAAATTTGACTTTCGTTTTCTCCCCCTACACAAGGGGTACGCGCCGTTTTGTTTGGGCGCGTAGTAGGCGAGCGATGCGTCTTGTAGAAGATGGTGAAGAATATATGCAAAGTAAGGCCAATACAGGGTCAATGTGAAACTCAATTTTAAAAGTTTGGTCACAAATTGGCAAATTTTGGGGAAAGTAAAGGTCTGGGATGAAATTGGAAGTCATTTTCGTGATCAGCACACCATAAACTTCAGGAATCTATGTAAAACTCGATGTAAAAATTTTAGTCGGAAATTGGTAAATATTCGGAAAAGTAAAGGTCTGAGATGAAATTGGAAGTCATTTTCGTGATCAGCACACCAAAAACTGCAGGAAACTATGTAAAACTCGATGTAAAAATTTTGGTCCAAAATTGGTAAATATTTGGAAAAGTAAAGGTCTGGGATGAAATTGGAAGTCATTTTTGTGATCAGCACACCAAATACTGCAGGAAGCAATGAAACACCGAGGAAATTTTGGTCCTAAATCATGTAATTCTAGTTGAAAGTATGGGTCTTCAGTTGTGAGGTTTCTTTAAGAGCGTTTCCTGTTCATGGTGTCATGCCATGAACCCTGACCCTGTTACTCAGTCGAGTAACATTTAACAGCCAGCATTGAATTGCTTAATACGATTCACAAATACTTCAATTACCATTCGATATCTCCTTGTTACTGAACTTATGAATACGCAATAATATAAGTAATACCTAAAAAGCCTTTCTCCCTTTTAGTTTTAACTAGTAGATTAAACTATATTGATTTATCTGCATTAATTAAAAAGAGACATATTTGCGGGCAGGCTGATTTCAACTACTTTACGGAGAAGACCTTCTGTCAGATCCAATGAATCGTTTCATAGAATCCAATGTCGAGGCCACTTATTGCTAAACGCAAGTTTATCTTATTCATAATGATAGTCATGGTGTGTTATTTAATCTTTGAAACAGTTTAGCAAAAGTATTTACCTAACATTCTGAGTAAATTAAAAAAAAAAGCCAACTCAAACCATGACCAACACAAATTACCAGTTGTCGCAGACAATGTATGATTAAGTTAAAAGAATCGTCTCATGAAATCGTATGACCAAGTCAGTGAATCGTCTCATTGAATCTGATGTCAATGTCAAACCTTGAATGCGCTACACTCACTCATCATATGGTTTTCTTTAAGGTTAGTCCTATAGTAAACTCACAGCATTGCAATGAAGCCTTTTCCCAGAATCAGTGCCCAGAGTCAGCAAAGACTATTTACTTTGGCAAGATTAGCATCTGGTTTGTACTCATAGAATGTATTAATATATTTTCTAACTGTTATTGAGCAAAGCAAACAACTAAAAAATATAGTGTCTGAGAATATAAATGGAAATACACTCACAAAGGTTAAAAAGACCAAATCATTCTTGCAATTATCAAACACACTCCACTGACTAAAACATTTCCCCTGTAGCGGGGGAGGGGAGAGGGCGGACGGACGGACGAAACGCGTAATAATTGTCACTTTCATTTTCCGTATTTCACTGAGTTGACACTCCGGAGGGGTTTCTATCATTCTAAAATATCGAAAAACTATGACCGTACTCACTTCTAAGCCCTTCTGCTCTTTAGTTTGTTTTATTTGCCAATGTTTTGCCAGGTCCCGTATTTGAGAGTCGCGGCCGCAAGTATGAAAAATTGCTACGAGCTGCCAACCACTGCCAACCTAACCACGCTAAGAACCTAATTCAAAAAGATGTTTTGAATAACAATAGTAATCGTGAATATAAGATAAACTCCCCCTGGGGGAGATTAAGGAGCCTTCCGGTGCGAAATTTTGAAACTATTTGTGCGGTAGTTACTTAGAAACGTGAGTGAGTTACAGACAGACAGACGCACGACCAGTCACTTTTTGGTACCCCCAAACACGGCAAGGGCTCGCTATCGCTCGCCAAAAATATGACGAAATTAACTGAAAATATGACGGAAATTACGCTTGACGGAAATTACAAACAGGTGTTTCTGGCTCACTGCAACTGCATATCGCCACAGAAATATGCCATAAGTTTGGCACACTAGTTCGACGTCAAGACACATCTTTTCAAGTGTAGGATGTCTTTCAAAACCCAATAGACGAGGAGCGAGAGGGGCATACGGAAATTACACCAATTGTTACAACCCACCGATTTCACACACAACTTCCACTCGCACACTCACCCCCTCACTTTTTCGCCACCGAAATTCGTTCATATGGTAAACAGACCGTGCTGATTCTGAATACGGCGGTGGTTTTGAGCAGGAAGCACTCCTAGTAGTTTTTTTGGTGCTTACTTTGAAACCGCTAAGGTAAAAGTCGGAGTACGGTGGACATTTAGTACGCGTTCTGAAAGTACAGTTCCAATCAATATACGATCTTCAAATTCAAGCAAGATAGTCACTCTTAGTTAAAGATTTGATGGGTGTGTGTGGAATTCGAAGATTTGAATGGAACGCAGGGTTATAGAGCCGCAAAGTTGGTGTAAGGTGCGAATGGACATGACGGAACTTACAAAATCGACCCTTTTGGCCCCTCTCCCGCGTCACATATTAGCTTTGAAAGTCCGTATACAAAGGGAACAAGCTATTCTAGTGCCAAACAAGATTCTTAAGTGTATAAATGGACTGCACTCGAATAAGTTCGCTCTGGGGAGGGTGTGGACACGAAAACGCCCTCTACGCACGGAATCACCCTGCTACCACCAGTAGGCAAGCCACATCGACAGAATTGGGGTGCCAGGTGCCATTTGCCTACCCCCCGTGAGCATCAAATTCTTGATTCGTCTGAAAATCTATTAATGGTGATGTTTCTTGGGGCTTCCGGGCACTCGCCAGGCGTAAACAAAATTGTTTCAGCGTCGGACGTGCGCTAGAGATTGTCCCCTAAGTAAGAGGCAGGCAGAAGAAGACATCACATACCAATCTGGATAAGGTGCTGGACGTTTTTAGGGATGGAGGCCAAAACAAATGCCTCCAAAGCCTCAGCCGCTTCCTCTACAATGACTGAAATCAAAAGAAGATTCGAAAGTGACAGTGTTTGGCTGCAAAGGCACAAATTCTTTTAAGGTAGAGGTAGTAAAGCAGTGAAGCTATCAGATCTTCGTTGTAACTGTCACCTGCAGACCTGCACAGTCGCTTAGTCCCATCACCTGCCCACCTTAAAAATGCAACTTCTGCAATAACGTGTTTAAAAGTGCCGTAAAGATGGCTTGCAGTCGGCGTGATGACACTGAAACTGCGCACCTCTTCAGTGTCTCCTCGTTTTGCCTCCAGGCAAACTTGACAAACTCCTAATGCCCTGAAGTTCGAATAAATTTTCAAAATTGACCGACCGAATTGAATGGAATATTCTCTCTCTCTCTCTCTCTCTCTCTCTCTCTCTCTCTCTCTCTCTCTCTCTCTTTTATATATATATATATATATATATATATATATATAATATATATATATATATATATATATACTCGCGCTGCTCGCTGGGGGCTCCGCCCCCAGACCCCCGCATGTGTGGGGCGCGTGCCGAAGTATTTTCAGTACGTCCAAGGTGACCAAAGGCAAATTTTCCAAGGAAGTAAATGTACTGCTTCTTTGAAAGGTCTATTTAACAACTTTTGACCATATAATTAAGCTACTTTTACTGCCCAAATAGATAGCTTTTATTGCATTGGCTACTGTGGCAGTCAATGGGTGCACACAAGGTCCGGAAAATATTGAAGACTGCTTTGTCAAGGATAGAGGTGAATGGAAAAAACCGAAAGTCTCTACGACCACCCCTTGACCCCAAACATTTCTATAAGTGAGTCAGTCAGTCAGTGTCAGTCGGATTGCCGGTGACGGGACCCGATTGCGGCACAGTTTCGGAAATGTCTCGACCAGACCTGCCGATAGAGCGAATAAAAATTTTCAGTCGGTCGGTCCCCTTTTTTAAAGATTGAGTGGATTTTGTTAATTGAAGGCCTTTTTAATCGTTTTGAGAATGTTGCCGGTGACGGGGACCCGATTGTGGCATAGTTTCGGAAATGTCTCGACCAGGCCTACCGATGGGGCGAATAAAAATTTTTAGTCGGTCGGTCCCCTTTTTTTGAAGATTGAGTGGATTTTGTTGAATTTAGGCCTATTTTATCGTTTTCAGGATGTTGCCGGTGACGGGGACCCGATTGCGGCACACTTTCGGAAATGTTTCGACCAGACCTACCAATAGGGCGAATAAAAATTTTCAGTCGGTCGGTCCCATTTTTTGAAGATTGAGTGGATTTTGTTGAATTTAGGTCTATTTTATCGTTTTCAGGATGTTGCCGGTGACGGGGACCCGATTGCGGCACACTTTCGGAAATGTTTCGACCAGACCTACCAATAGGGCGAATAAAAATTTTCAGTCGGTCGGTCCCCTTTTATGAAGATTGAGTGGATTTTGTTGAATTTAGGTCTATTTTATCGTTTTCAGGATGTTGCCGGTGACGGGGACCCGATTGCGGCACAGTTTCAGAAATGTCTCGACAAGACCTACCGATGGGGCGAATAAAAATTTTTAGTCGGTCGGTCCCCTTTTTTGAAGGAGTGGATTTTGTTGAATTTAGGCCTATTTTATCGTTTTCAGGATGTTGCCGGTGACGGGGACCCGATTGCGGCACACTTTCGGAAATGTTTCGACCAGACCTACCAATAGGGCGAATAAAAATTTTCAGTCGGTCGGTCCCATTTTTTGAAGATTGAGTGGATTTTGTTGAATTTAGGTCTATTTTATCGTTTTCAGGATGTTGCCGGTGACGGGGACCCGATTGCGGCACACTTTCGGAAATGTTTCGACCAGACCTACCAATAGGGCGAATAAAAATTTTCAGTCGGTCGGTCCCCTTTTATGAAGATTGAGTGGATTTTGTTGAATTTAGGCCTATTTTATCGTTTTCAGGATGTTGCCGGTGACGGGGACCCGATTGCGGCACACTTTCGGAAATGTTTCGACCAGACCTACCAATAGGGCGAATAAAAATTTTCAGTCGGTCGGTCCCATTTTTTGAAGATTGAGTGGATTTTGTTGAATTTAGGTCTATTTTATCGTTTTCAGGATGTTGCCGGTGACGGGGACCCGATTGCGGCACACTTTCGGAAATGTTTCGACCAGACCTACCAATAGGGCGAATAAAAATTTTCAGTCGGTCGGTCCCCTTTTATGAAGATTGAGTGGATTTTGTTGAATTTAGGCCTATTTTATCGTTTTCAGGATGTTGCCGGTGACGGGGACCCGATTGCGGCACACTTTCGGAAATGTTTCGACCAGACCTACCAATAGGGCGAATAAAAATTTTCAGTCGGTCGGTCCCCTTTTTTGAAGATTGAGTGGGTTACACGGATCCGTCGCAACAGGCCAAAGAAAAATTTCTCCACATATCATAGACCAGAATGCAAACTGACAAAGTTCGCTGAAAAACTTAAATGTGTACCTATTACACACTTATGTGCCCATGCGTACATGTGTACACGAAATGACATGGGACTTTATATGTGTCATGGCTGACGCAGTTTCAAGCACGTCCGATGGACAAAAAGTGTGCCATGACATATACACACTAAATTCTTATGGACTTTTTAAATGCATAATGACGCATAATTTATGCATAGTTATGCATGCGCAGAAACGTCCATAAGGTATGAATAAAATTATGCATCATTGTGTACATTTTATGCACCTTCCTGCATAAAATGTACACAGTGATGCATAATTTTATACATAACATATGGACGTATCTGTGCATGCATAACTATGCATAAAAAAGTCCATAAGAATTTAGTGTGTAGAGTGTACTCAGTACACACTCAGAAAATTCGGCCACTAAGGAAAAGGACCTTAATTAAGACTCATCCCCGCAACTTCTCAAAGCCGATCAATCGCTTTCAGGAGTTTGTTTCACACGACGCTATCGGTTCGCCAATGTTAAATGAGAACGCTCACCAATGTTTATTCCCAAAAGGTCCAACGTAGAACGCATGTAAGCCGCCCTGGTGGTGGTCATAGCGAGTATGTCCGCCTCCCGCATGATGTCGGTTTTCTCATGTTGGCTGGATTCATCATAAGTCTCTTGAAGTTCACCGTACTGCGATCTTCCATGCTTGTCGCTGTAGCCATGGATAAGCTGAAAGCCGACCAAAAATAGTAATGTCCACACTGAATACCGTCATTCTGAGACATCTTTTGCCACAAGTGTTGTGCAACTTTAAGCACATGCGACGGTGGTCCCGAAGCCTACTGCTAATTGAATATTCATCAGACAATTTGATCCGCTTGGCAAACACAGAATTGAATCACCGTCGGATGTGCCTGAAATTGCATAATTCACGGGCCTTAACACTGCAAATCCAAAGGCTATACTGAAGTATCTTTTTTGGCGAGAAAAATTGAGTATCGCCAACAAACGGCTTTACCGAAAAATCCTGCCATCAAAACGGAAATATGCAAAAGTATTGCCAAAATCTGGAATAAACAGTGAAAATACCTCCTTAAATTTGTTCAAAGTTTATTGCCAAATTTTGGCAATACATTAGCTTATCGCCATCGCCTCTTTGAAGACAAGATTTTCTGCATGGCCCTTTGTTGGTGAGAGTACACGAGCTTCGTGAGTTTGTATGAGTGCAGTCTCAGCTGTGACAGAGGGGGCGATTTCAGGGAGGGTCCAGGTGAGTGTGATAGCTATATTATTGGGGGAGACTCGGGGTGCAAGGAGACTAGCAGGGCGGTGAACAAAGGAGGGGTTAGCGGAACAGAGAACATAGTTGAGGTTAAGAGGGAAAAGTGGGAGTGCGTGAGGGAGGGTGAATGGCGAGTGTAGGGGCGCAGCAGTACGTAATTCGGCGTAAGGTGTCCCTTGAGTGACATTTCACCTCGGACACTTGCAATAAATGAATAGTGTGAAATTTTACGAACCTTATTTGTAAACAGCAGACAGCGACTCAGGAACTCATGGACTGCATGATTTGTTGTTGTCACCACTAATATGGGGCCTCTGAATACATTTGGGTTCGTGCCTTTGAGGCTGACGAAATACTCAGCAATCTGCAAACAAGAAAAGAAGTTACGCTATACAATCCATGTGCTGATGGGGCGATTGAATGCCCTTTCAGCACTCCAGGCGGGAGGGGGCTACCGACAGGGGCCATGCGCCTCTCAGGCGGGTTTGCCAACTTGTAAAAACGCACTTGCACACTAAGGCGCCGGTGCAAATAAAGAACAATAGTGCCACTGATTTTCTAAGTGTAATAATTGTTTAGGAAGTATAGGCTAGTTCCATATTCCGCCACCAGGTGGCACTGTTAGCGTCAGCTAGAGCTCAGCTGGACTTCCAGCGATCAGTCTTGTCCGAGCAGTCAGTCGTTATGTACCAAGTGCTACAATAAACCGTGTTACAAGTCAACCAACTCGTTTGCTTACCCCGCCACGATACAATAATGAGCTAATTGAAAAAGCAATACCACTTTTATTGCATTAGTAGCGCCATGAAAAAGTTATTGCATTACAAGTGCCATAATTGAGGAATTGCACACACTAAATTCTTATGGACTTTTTAAATGCATAAGAACGCATTTTTTATGCATAGTTATGCATGCGCAGAAACGTCCATACGGTATGTATAAAATTATGCATCACTGTGTATAGGAAGATGTGTGCAGGAAGATGCATAAAATGTACACAGTGATGCATAATATTATACATAACGTATGGACGTATCTGTGCATGCATAACTATGCATAAAAAAGTCCATAAGAATTTAGTGTGCATGAGCGCATTTGTCACTTTATTAGCGTAGTTATCATTCTATCACACCACTGCAAATGCAAAGGCGATACTGAAGTACATTTTTTGGCGATACAATTGAGAATCGCCAATAAACGGCCTTACGGAAAAGTATTGCCTTCAGAACGGCGATGCAAAAAAGTATCGCCAAAATTTGGCATTACTTTTGGATATTGCCAAAACCACGGCATTAAACCAAGGTCTTGTCCCCTTGATTTGTTCGACGTTTATTGCCAAATCGTGGCAATACTCCCAAGTATCGCCAAATTTTGGCGATACTTTTGTGTATCGCCATTTTGAAGGCAATACTTTTCCGTAAGGCCGTTTATTGGCGATACTGAACTGTGTCGCCAAAAAAGGTACTAAAAGTATTGCCTTTGGATTTACAGTGACCATAACTGTGATAATCTGGGCCCAGACCGGCCAAAACCTAAGACACTTATTGCATTTTTAATGCGCTAATTTTTTAGTGCTTCCACAGATGCAATAATTTGAAGGAATCACACTAGCCTTTTTATCGCTGCAAAATTGTATGAAACTTATTACATTAGAAATACCAGTGGCAACGTTCACTGAGATTTCCAAACGCCATGAGTATAGCACGAATGGTGCAATGCACTGAGATATCGCACCATACGACGTGCAATGCCTCAGCCATATTGCACCTTACGTGCAATGCGTCCCGAAAAGGCCCTATGCTACAACGTGGGAATGGGAAGGCATTGCACTTCATGTGCAATACTTTTGCAGTGCACCAATTGACGCTGTATTCATAGCGTTTGGATTCTCAGTGTTACGCCTAAGGCGTACAATGTACACGTGAACAATGGGGATTCGTACTCACTTTGCATCCGAGGTACGTTTTGCCTGTACCCGGAGGTCCTTGCACTAGGGCGACTCGCCTCTGAAGGACGCTCTCGAAGGCAGCTGCCTGCGATTTGTTGAGCCCCCGCACGACATCGGCGCGTAGATGTGCAATTCTCCACCCAGATGACACGTGACTCAAGTACGCCGGCGGTTGAGATGTCTGGCCCCTCACAATTTCATCAGTGAACAAACTGCAAGAAGAGAACATCTGGTAACGCCTTCGACTGGAAAATTTCCGGGCAAGGCGTGCGCAGTTTCCTGGGCGTCGTAAAGCGCGAAAATTAAAAAATGAAAACTCCGTACACTGGATAACTAAGGCGTAGTATTACCCTCTGTTTTCTAGGGTAACCAGTTAACAATTGGAATCAATCTTAACGGGCTCATCCGCCAACAGTCCCCCTAAATGCAGGGGGAATTCCAAAAGTATGCTGAAGTTCAAGCATAAGGCCTTCACACGCTAAATAACTGTAGGTTTGTCTGCGCGCTAATGCCCGAATTTAAACATGCACTTCATAACATACAAATATGCCCGTGAAAATGCACGATTTTCTGCATACTTGCGCAGGAAATCGTGCATTGTCGCGCACAAATTCGTGCGTTACAAAGTGCATGTTTAATTTCGTGCATTCACGCGCAGAAAAACCTACATAGTAATTTAGTGTGCAAGCGTAACTCAATGCTTGACTCAAGAGTAGAGTTAAACTTTAGTTTAACCAGTGTGCGGAAGTTTATTAAGCACTCGTTTAGTGGAATGAAAAAGAGTGCATATAATCTGAAAACAAAATTGATGTTTTACCTCTGAAATCGATTCTCCCGCAAGGCATTCGTAACGTGGAGGTAGGGAAAATAAAACGCTGCTGACTCAACTAGGTGGTATGTTTTTCCTACAAACTCAGACTGATCCAGCATCCTGAAGTATTTTTCGTCGCTGTTCACACCGGATATCATCTTGATTACGACACACCCCTTCCTGCCCAAACAGAGAAATCAAATGACAGAGTACATATCGTGAAGACTAAAATAGCAGGAAACGTGACGATACAAGTCAGCAACACTGAGAATCCAAACGCTGTGTGTATAGCGTCAATTGGTGCAATGCAAAAGCATTGCACATGAAGTGCAATGCCTCCCCATTCCCATGCATTAGCATAGGGCATTTTCGGGACGCATTACACGTACGGTGCAATATGGCTACTGCATTGCACGTATGGTGCGATATCTCAGCTGCATGACACCATGGTACAATGCAGCTGAGATATCGCACCATACGTGCATACGTATGCATACGTGCTTACTCATAGCGTTTGGAATCTCAGTGAACTATGGCCCGTCTCGCACTATATAAAATTCGCGAATTTCAAACCCAGTTCGGGGTCAAAGCGGATGTCAGTTTCGTAACCGACGAAAAACGGGGTATAAACCAATGCCAAATTGACAATGGGAAATGTTGTTTTGACCCTGACGAGATTTCAATGGGGGTCCGCCGGTCCGGGGTCAAATCCGATGTCATTTTCGGCATCGGTAAAGTCGCTGCGCTGTCGGCCTTTCGAAATCTTTGACGTTTCGCCACTTGACGACTATACTTTAGCGTGGCGTGTAGTTGGCTACACACTAAATGTCATGGGACTTTTTTTGTCCCATGAATGATGCAATTTTAAGCACATCCGGTGGTGATGCAATTTTGTGCCCGCCAGGCGGGACAAATTGTCGGTTGAAAGTACAATTTGCAGCAGGCGTCGGACAAAATGTGTCGCCAGACGGGAACAAAATTGTATCAGCGTCGGATGTGCTTAAAATTGCATAAATCGTGGGACAAAAAAAGTCCCATGACATTTATTGTGTAGCATGCTGCAGCGTGAAGTGTACTTGCCGGGTGCTTCAACCTGAAGCATGCTATGTCATTGGGCTTTTTTGTTCACACTAAATTCTTACGGACTTTTTAAATGCATAAGGACGCATTTTTTATGCATAGTTATGCATGCGCAGAAACGTCCATAAGGTATGTATAAAATTATGCATCACTGTGCACATTTTATGCGTCTTCCTGCATAAAATGTACACAGTGATGCATAATATTATACATAACATATGGACGTATCTGTGCATGCATAACTATGCATAAAAAAGTCCATAAGAATTTAGTGTGTTCCAAGGATGATGCAATTTTACACATGGGCATACAATTTTGTTCCCTCCTGGCGACACATTTTGTCCAACGGCTGATGCAAATTGAACTTTCATTAGACAATTTGATCTGCCTCTGAGAATGAATGGGTCTCCACCATCACCCTTAAAATGGTTCCCACTCACATCTGCAAGATGACTTTGTGATTGTAACGTTGTGTAAATTTGCAGCAGGCATCAGACAAAATGTGTCTTCAGGCGGAAAGTAGCCAGATGTGTTTAAAATAACATATCCATAGAGAATGAATGGGTGATGCAACTTCGTTGCCCAATTTTGGGTGACGAAATAAATATTCATCACCCGAAATTTGGTAACCGGCGTTATGTCGCCCAAATTTGGGTAACGTTGATGACGCCGTGAGGTCCCCGATGGCGTCCTTCCGGCGCCACTACGATGATCGTCATGTGACGTCGTGACCGCCGTGAGGGCCAGAGGCCCCAACGCCACATGAGCATCGGGCACCTCACCGCGTCGCCGACGACGTTACCCAAATTTGGGTGACCTAACGCCAGTTACCAATTTTCGGGTGATGAAGGATGAATGTTTCGTCAAAAGTACAATTGCCCCCCGCCCCCTGTTGCCCCTGTAAGTAGGCAAAATGTGCTACTCCCCCCCCCTTGGGCCGACTCTGGATCCGCCACTGCAAAGAACCTTAGAAGATTTACGAAGGTGCTTCGTAAGTTTCCATTCTCATTGTAAAATCGACAGAGGTCCTTCAAAAAAATTACGAAGGTTTTTGTACATATATGAGTGAATGCGGGATGTGTTCAAATTTTGTACAATGAATGCAATAAGTTCTCGGGTACATACCTCAAATGATGCGGGCTGCTATCATGCACCACGCCCACGTCAAAGGTGTTCATTCCGTTTCGGCTGAGGAACACGAGGTTCCCGGTCAGGAACCGCTTGTCTTCGTCCCAGCGGACGTGCCCGTACTTCTTGGGATCGAAATACATCTTAACCCCAATTTGATGCCTTCCGCTTCTTCCGTAGTTCTGGGTGAGCAGAACTCTTTCAGCCTTCACCTCGTAGTGCGCGGACGAGCTGAGCAGCTTCGGGTTTGCCCGTATTTCATTTATCTGCTCACTCACTGCTCGGCGGAAATCCTCCGCAAGCAAATCATGTTGAGTTTGGCACAGCTCCCTGTAGCTCGAGTACGGTCCAACTCGTTTGATGGGAGTCACAGAGGGGACCCTCCTGGCAGGATTGACGTCCTGGAGAGTGAGGAACAGAGGCCGGCCCTCGGCACCAGTCCCCTGGCGCATCCGCTCTGCAAGCGACGAGAAAGGAACGTGTTACTGCGGATTCTCCACACTAAGTGTCATGGGACCTTTTTTTTGTCCCATGGATAATGCAATTTTAAGCACATCCGCACCGAGAATCCAAACGGTACGATGAATACAGCGTCAATCGGAGCAATACTTTCCCATTGCACATGAAGTGCAATGCCCTTCCCCTCGCCCTCCAATTCTCAACGCATTAGCATAAGGCATTTTCGGGAAGCCGTGCACATAAAGGTGCGATATCTCAGTGCATTGCATCATAAGTATATTCATAGCGTTTGAAATCTCCGTGTGGCTGTCGAGGGGGCAACCACTCGCGAAATCCTGTGTACACTTAATTTGCCGAAATCTTGCGCGAGATCGGTAGAAATCTGCACGGTGAAACCGATGTCTGGAAATTTCCAGACATTTTTTCCCATTTCCAGACATTGTCTGGAAATGGCCGTTTTTTTCCAGACAATGTCTGGAAATGTCTACTTTTTCCAGATAATGTCTGGAAATGGTCAAATCCCAGATACATATCTGGAAAAAAACGGCATTTCCAGACAATGTCTGGAAATAACATTTTCCAGATAATATCTGGAAATTTCCCAGATAATGTCTGGAAACAAAGGCCTTGACGCCGAGGTCCACGGATTTGCGACCTGGGGGTCCCCAGGACACGAGGAGTCCAACGCCGAGGTCGCCGACGCTCTAGGACAAGCGGTTCCGGAGATACGAGGACGTACCACAAGGAGTCCGTCAAAGCAACTTTTTAGTTGGAGGCCAAAATCATCATCGGCCTCTGACTGCGTTCCACTTGGGTGTCCGGGACTTTTGACTTCAGCATCGTGTTAAGGTAGTGCTAGACTACCAGGAACCCGTCAGAGGTTGCCGTCGGACCACCGGTGCGCCCAGGATGCCGACGAACGTGGCTGCTGTGCCGCCACACGGTTCAACACCGTTGTCGCCACCACCCAGGTGGTCCCCGATGGTGTCCTCGGGGTCCCCAGCACACGGGGAGTCCAACGCCGAGGTCGCCGACGCTCTAGGACAAGCGATTCCGGAGATACGAGGACGTACCGCAAGGAGTCCGTCAAAGCAACGTTTTAGTTGGAGGCCAAAATCATCATCGGCCTCTGGCTGCGTTTCACTTGGGTGTGCGGGACTTTTGACTTCAGCATCGTGTTAAGGTAGTGCTAGACTACCAGGAACCCGTCAGGGGTCGCCGTCGGACCAACGGTGCGCCCAGGATGCCGACGAACGTGAGGCACGCCGGAGCGCCGTGGCGTGCCGGGTGCCTAAACAATCGTCGCCACCGCCGCTGCCGCCGGGTCCTCCGCCCCAACCGCGAGCTTGGACGACGGAGGCCGACGCCGTTGGCACCGACGCCGTCGACGTGTACGTCGACGCCACCACGTGCTTAGTCGGCCGTTAGTGTGCTCCAACGGCCGCTTCGGCCTCTGGCTGCGTTCTACTTGGGTGTCCGGGACTTTTGACTTGAGCACTGCGTTGGGGTGCTCCCGGGCAACCATGAACCCGTCAGGGGTCGCCGTCGGACTACCGGTGCGCCGAGGGTGCCTACGTAGTCAGGCACACTGGCGCGCCGTGGCGGGCAAGGTGCCTGAACGATCGCGTTGCCCCCGCCACCGCCGTGTCCTACGTCGCGATCCACAGCTTGGACGACGGAGGCCGACGCCCTTAGCGCCGACGTGTCCGTCAACGCCAGCACGGCCAAGGCCGATGCGGCCGTTGGAGCACACTAACGGCCGACTAAGCACGTGGTGGCGTCGACGTACACGTCGGCGGCGTCGGTGCCAACGGCGTCGGCCTCCGTCGTCCAAGCTCGCGGTTGGGGCGGAGGACCCGGCGGCAGCGGCCGCGGCGGTGGCGACGATTGTTTAGGCACCCGGCACGCCACGGCGCTCCGGCGTGCCTCACGTTCGTCGGCATCGTGGGCGCACCGTTGGTCCGACGGCGACCCCTGACGGGTTCCTGGTAGTCTAGCACTACCTTAACACTATGCTGAAGTCAAAAGTCCCGGACACCCAAGTGGAACGCAGCCAGAGGCCGATGATGATTTTGGCCTCCAACTAAAACGTTGCTTTGACGGACTCCTTGCGGTACGTCCTCGTATCTCCGGAACCGCTTGTCCTAGAGCGTCGGCGACCTCGGCGTTGGACTCCCCGTGTGCTGGGGACCTCAAGGACACCATCGGGGACCCCCAGGTCGCAAATCCGTGGACCTCGGCGTCAAGGCCTTTGTTTCCAGACATTATCTGGGAAATTTCCAGATATTATCTGGAAAATGTTATTTCCAGACATTGTCTGGAAATGCCGTTTTTTTTCCAGATATATATCTGGGATTTGACCATTTCCAGACATTATCTGGAAAAAGTAGACATTTCCAGACATTGTCTGAAAAAAACGGCCATTTCCAGACAATGTCTGGAAATGGGGAAAAATGTCTGGAAATTTCCAGACATCGGTTTCACCGTGTGATGAAATCCCTTCGAAATCTGGTGAAATCTCGTAATTCGTAATCTCATAATTCGACGCCTCCTAATAGAATAATCCTAACTGTCAGTGCTGATTCAAGACAATCCTAACTGTCAGCGCAGATTGTACAACGTAAAAAGCTATTTCTTATAAAATTCTGTGACACCAACATGCTGCTCCCAATTTTCTTGGCAATGGACTTGTAAAAAAGTATAAGCCTTGCATATAAACGTGGAAGCTGTATTTCAGTGATATCATGATTCGCTGCTTTGGACTGAAGAGAGCTAGAGCAGTTTTGACTTGGATTAGAACTGGCAGTTAGGATTATTCTAATAGGAGGCGTCAAATTGTTGCGCGAAATCCTGCGAAATCCCGACGAAATCCCTACCTTTCAAGGATAAGGGAGGGTGGGGCGATTCGTAACAGGGGCGATTCGTAACAAATGCGTTTATTAATTTAAGGGGGCACACCAGTGAAAATGCAGAGGTTTCGAAAAACGACCATTCTGAGGAAAGTAACCTATGTATTCGATTGATATTTTATTCTTGGCTCAAGATTATGTCAAAGAAAAGGGAAATCAGTATGGGAGGGCGAGGTGGCGATGGCAAGACGGAGCGCCAGTGTACTTCATTTTTCTGCGACCTTGCTTCACTCCTGCCACGATTCCGCCCCTCTGGATTGAGCCTCGAGCACGGGATTTGAAAATTTCTCAACAAGACACATGTGGCTATGGTCTGAACCACGGGCATGCAAAAAGAATGATTTTGAATTTGTTTTTTCAGGAGGCAAAAATAGAAACAAATATTTAATGCAATTTTTTCGCGCTTTCATGGCTGCAGCTCACCTCTTATTTATGGGATGGCCTTTTCCGAGGTTCAGACCATAGACGCAAGTTTCACGAACATTTTGCCGCAAACCGCATTCAATTATCTTTATTTTTGCGCCCGGTAGAGTGGCACAAAGGTACAAAAATGGTGTTTTGAGAAAAAGCCCTTTTGGTGAAAACGTAGATTTGACGTGTTTTTTCGGATTATAAATGCGTCTTATGACGTATTTTAGTTCAATTTGCGCCAAAATGTTTTTCTTTTCAACTGCTTTTGGGTGGTTCAAGGGTTTTGTAGTTGAAGTTCAAGTAAAAAACCTAAACGTTAACAATTGGTCTAAAATATGCAACAATAATTACCTTTTTAGCAACTTCAAAAATGTGCACAAGCCAAAGTAAGGGGAATTTAGGGGTGGGGCTTGCGGCATTCGACTCGGGATGAATAGCAGAAAAATAAGAAAAAATAAAAAAGAAGGCAAAAATTTGACCATTTTCACTGGTGTGCCCCCTTAAGTGGAGGGAGCAGAGGAAACTCTGAGAAGGGTCCCTGTTTCGCTTCAAGTAGAGGGTCCTTGAAGAATCGAAGCGGATGTGATCGGTGCTTAGGTAAGTTTTGAAGGGAGTCTGAAATATAGGGTACACCGCAAACAGTCAAATTTTTTATTTGAGTTCTAGGAAGTTTCCGTCTGAGACTCCCCAGGTATGAATCACCATCGAATATCGTTCGGGCCTTGAAGCGTGACCCTTTTACAATGTAACCACGCGGCAAAAGTTGCCTTTACTTAGTCCAGTGGTAGTTAGGGACGTATTTCTAGCGTAATAGGCATTTGGGGTGATTCGTGACAGACCCGTTTAAAAACAAGAATTCAAGTAGTTTATGCAATTAAATGCTTAATTATTTCTCGAATCATCTGCTGCCTTATTCCAATACATTTACCCAGCACAAAATGTTTTGTAAAGAGAGTTATTCTAATTTTTACTCCAAAATTGAAAAAAAAAGAGGTGAGGATTCACATAGCCGATCAGTTAATGCTAAGGCGGTCAACGGCAGCTTGCAGTGTAGATTTTTTTGCAGGACATCCGAAGAACAACTGCTCGAGGAGATATCATTCCCGACGATGTTTCATTTAATGTGTAGGATGTTATGAAAAGCCCCATGGCTGATACAAACCACCCCATGGCGGGGCGATTCGTAACAGCATGCAGGGGTTTGGAAAGCGTCTCAGATTTCCAAGATTACGGATTCCAGATTGATCCAATGGAGCTGTGCAGTCTAGATGAAGGGCCAGACTGCTCAACTGGCATAAGTTTGGAACCGATATGCAGAATCTTCTTTATTTTGTATAGAGAATTCAGAAATCTGTTACAAATCGCCCCACTCTCTCTTACTGTGTACTTAAAATTTTCAAATGATTGCCCCTTTGGCGGCGGTGATACAGTTTTGTTCCCGCCTGGCGACCCATCTTGTCCAAAGCAGGATCCAGGCGGAATCGGCCCGACTTCATCCCGATTTGGCCTCCAATTTTTTTCTTACTCGCCTTGGTCCCAAAAGACCAAAAAAAAAATTAGTGCAAAAATATTGAGTTTTGGCGGAGTTGTGGGGGACTCGAGTTTTTGACCTTTTTCAAAATGTTGAAAAGGTTGCAAAACAAAATGTTGTTTTTTATTCGGATGTGCTTAAAATTGC